AAGCCTAAGCCTAAGCTCAAGCCTAAGCCTAAGCCTAAGCCTAAGCCTAAGCCTAAGCCTAAGCCTAAGCCTAAGCCTAAGCCTAAGCCTAAGCTTAGGCCTAAGCCTAAGCCTAAGCCTAAGCCTAAGCCTAAGCCTAAGCCTAAGCCTAAGCCTAAGCCTAAGCCTAAGCCTAAGCCTAAGCCTAAGCCTAAGCCTAAGCCTAAGCCTAAGCCTAAGCCTAAGCCTAAGCCTAAGCCTAAGCCTAAGCCTAAGCCTAAGCCTAAGCCTAAGCCTAAGCCTAAGCCTAAGCCTAAGCCTAAGCCTAAGCCTAAGCCTAAGCCTAAGCCTAAGCCTAAGCCTAAGCCTAAGCCTAAGCCTAAGCCTAAGCCTAAGCCTAAGCCTAAGCCTAAGCCTAAGCCTAAGCCTAAGCCTAAGCCTAAGCCTAAGCCTAAGCCTAAGCCTAAGCCTAAGCCTAAGCCTAAGCCTAAGCCTAAGCCTAAGCCTAAGCCTAAGCCTAAGCCTAAGCCTAAGCCTAAGCCTAAGCCTAAGCCTAAGCCTAAGCCTAAGCCTAAGCCTAAGCCTAAGCCTAAGCCTAAGCCTAAGCCTAAGCCTAAGCCTAAGCCTAAGCCTAAGCCTAAGCCTAAGCCTAAGCCTAAGCCTAAGCCTAAGCCTAAGCCTAAGCCTAAGCCTAAGCCTAAGCCTAAGCCTAAGCCTAAGCCTAAGCCTAAGCCTAAGCCTAAGCCTAAGCCTAAGCCTAAGCCTAAGCCTAAGCCTAAGCCTAAGCCTAAGCCTAAGCCTAAGCCTAAGCCTAAGCCTAAGCCTAAGCCTAAGCCTAAGCCTAAGCCTAAGCCTAAGCCTAAGCCTAAGCCTAAGCCTAAGCCTAAGCCTAAGCCTAAGCCTAAGCCTAAGCCTAAGCCTAAGCCTAAGCCTAAGCCTAAGCCTAAGCCTAAGCCTAAGCCTAAGCCTAAGCCTAAGCCTAAGCCTAAGCCTAAGCCTAAGCCTAAGCCTAAGCCTAAGCCTAAGCCTAAGCCTAAGCCTAAGCCTAAGCCTAAGCCTAAGCCTAAGCCTAAGCCTAAGCCTAAGCCTAAGCCTAAGCCTAAGCCTAAGCCTAAGCCTAAGCCTAAGCCTAAGCCTAAGCCTAAGCCTAAGCCTAAGCCTAAGCCTAAGCCTAAGCCTAAGCCTAAGCCTAAGCCTAAGCCTAAGCCTAAGCCTAAGCCTAAGCCTAAGCCTAAGCCTAAGCCTAAGCCTAAGCCTAAGCCTAAGCCTAAGCCTAAGCCTAAGCCTAAGCCTAAGCCTAAGCCTAAGCCTAAGCCTAAGCCTAAGCCTAAGCCTAAGCCTAAGCCTAAGCCTAAGCCTAAGCCTAAGCCTAAGCCTAAGCCTAAGCCTAAGCCTAAGCCTAAGCCTAAGCCTAAGCCTAAGCCTAAGCCTAAGCCTAAGCCTAAGCCTAAGCCTAAGCCTAAGCCTAAGCCTAAGCCTAAGCCTAAGCCTAAGCCTAAGCCTAAGCCTAAGCCTAAGCCTAAGCCTAAGCCTAAGCCTAAGCCTAAGCCTAAGCCTAAGCCTAAGCCTAAGCCTAAGCCTAAGCCTAAGCCTAAGCCTAAGCCTAAGCCTAAGCCTAAGCCTAAGCCTAAGCCTAAGCCTAAGCCTAAGCCTAAGCCTAAGCCTAAGCCTAAGCCTAAGCCTAAGCCTAAGCCTAAGCCTAAGCCTAAGCCTAAGCCTAAGCCTAAGCCTAAGCCTAAGCCTAAGCCTAAGCCTAAGCCTAAGCCTAAGCCTAAGCCTAAGCCTAAGCCTAAGCCTAAGCCTAAGCCTAAGCCTAAGCCTAAGCCTAAGCCTAAGCCTAAGCCTAAGCCTAAGCCTAAGCCTAAGCCTAAGCCTAAGCCTAAGCCTAAGCCTAAGCCTAAGCCTAAGCCTAAGCCTAAGCCTAAGCCTAAGCCTAAGCCTAAGCCTAAGCCTAAGCCTAAGCCTAAGCCTAAGCCTAAGCCTAAGCCTAAGCCTAAGCCTAAGCCTAAGCCTAAGCCTAAGCCTAAGCCTAAGCCTAAGCCTAAGCCTAAGCCTAAGCCTAAGCCTAAGCCTAAGCCTAAGCCTAAGCCTAAGCCTAAGCCTAAGCCTAAGCCTAAGCCTAAGCCTAAGCCTAAGCCTAAGCCTAAGCCTAAGCCTAAGCCTAAGCCTAAGCCTAAGCCTAAGCCTAAGCCTAAGCCTAAGCCTAAGCCTAAGCCTAAGCCTAAGCCTAAGCCTAAGCCTAAGCCTAAGCCTAAGCCTAAGCCTAAGCCTAAGCCTAAGCCTAAGCCTAAGCCTAAGCCTAAGCCTAAGCCTAAGCCTAAGCCTAAGCCTAAGCCTAAGCCTAAGCCTAAGCCTAAGCCTAAGCCTAAGCCTAAGCCTAAGCCTAAGCCTAAGCCTAAGCCTAAGCCTAAGCCTAAGCCTAAGCCTAAGCCTAAGCCTAAGCCTAAGCCTAAGCCTAAGCCTAAGCCTAAGCCTAAGCCTAAGCCTAAGCCTAAGCCTAAGCCTAAGCCTAAGCCTAAGCCTAAGCCTAAGCCTAAGCCTAAGCCTAAGCCTAAGCCTAAGCCTAAGCCTAAGCCTAAGCCTAAGCCTAAGCCTAAGCCTAAGCCTAAGCCTAAGCCTAAGCCTAAGCCTAAGCCTAAGCCTAAGCCTAAGCCTAAGCCTAAGCCTAAGCCTAAGCCTAAGCCTAAGCCTAAGCCTAAGCCTAAGCCTAAGCCTAAGCCTAAGCTCAAGCCTAAGCCTAAGCCTAAGCCTAAGCCTAAGCCTAAGCCTAAGCCTAAGCCTAAGCCTAAGCCTAAGCCTAAGCCTAAGCCTAAGCCTAAGCCTAAGCCTAAGCCTAAGCCTAAGCCTAAGCCTAAGCCTAAGCCTAAGCCTAAGCCTAAGCCTAAGCCTAAGCCTAAGCCTAAGCCTAAGCCTAAGCCTAAGCCTAAGCCTAAGCCTAAGCCTAAGCCTAAGCCTAAGCCTAAGCCTAAGCCTAAGCCTAAGCCTAAGCCTAAGCCTAAGCCTAAGCCTAAGCCTAAGCCTAAGCCTAAGCCTAAGCCTAAGCCTAAGCCTAAGCCTAAGCCTAAGCCTAAGCCTAAGCCTAAGCCTAAGCCTAAGCCTAAGCCTAAGCCTAAGCCTAAGCCTAAGCCTAAGCCTAAGCCTAAGCCTAAGCCTAAGCCTAAGCCTAAGCCTAAGCCTAAGCCTAAGCCTAAGCCTAAGCCTAAGCCTAAGCCTAAGCCTAAGCCTAAGCCTAAGCCTAAGCCTAAGCCTAAGCCTAAGCCTAAGCCTAAGCCTAAGCCTAAGCCTAAGCCTAAGCCTAAGCCTAAGCCTAAGCCTAAGCCTAAGCCTAAGCCTAAGCCTAAGCCTAAGCCTAAGCCTAAGCCTAAGCCTAAGCCTAAGCCTAAGCCTAAGCCTAAGCCTAAGCCTAAGCCTAAGCCTAAGCCTAAGCCTAAGCCTAAGCCTAAGCCTAAGCCTAAGCCTAAGCCTAAGCCTAAGCCTAAGCCTAAGCCTAAGCCTAAGCCTAAGCCTAAGCCTAAGCCTAAGCCTAAGCCTAAGCCTAAGCCTAAGCCTAAGCCTAAGCCTAAGCCTAAGCCTAAGCCTAAGCCTAAGCCTAAGCCTAAGCCTAAGCCTAAGCCTAAGCCTAAGCCTAAGCCTAAGCCTAAGCCTAAGCCTAAGCCTAAGCCTCAAAAAAGTTTCCACATAAATATCTAATTAAATTAGCGGTAGCATTATGCTATTTTTTACCCTGTGTTATCAAAGAACACAGGGGTAAAAAGTCAGTAGGGGTATCTAATGAATACCAATGAATATTAGACTTGAGTTAGAGGTGATTTACGTTAATTAGGTACTTATCAACTATTCCCAAGAAGGGAAAATGTATTAATTTCAAAAACATTAGTTTGACCCTAAATCAAACCACCAACTCTGAGAAAAAAATATGATTATAAATGTAGATTACATTACTATTCTGTAGATCGCTGACTTTTAATGATATTAAAATATAGATCGCGAATTCGATAAAATAAAAAAACCTTACAGATTTGAAATCGAGAATTTTTAATTTCGAGAAATATGAAATTTTGTTCATCCAAGAGATTAGTTTTAAAAAGATCATATCAAATCTAGCTAGTCAAACGAGACACTAAATGAATCAAATTGTGCAACCACATTGATCCATAATAATTTTGAATAACTCTTGTCGCTTAATCATAATTTTTGCAAATATTACAGTTACTAACTGTCAGTTGATATGTGAAAAATGGCGTAGTGGTCCCATCTTGATACCAGGCTTAATCCTTCAGATTTTATCGTTGAGAATAGTTGATAAGGGTCTAATAAAGGCTTGCTACCCCTAACTCAAGTCTAATATTCATTGGTATTCATTAGATACCCCTACTGACTTTTTACCCCTGTTTTCTTTGATAACAGAGGGGAAAAAACCTCGCCAAGCTCCTTTTTCTGAGGTTAAGCTCAATAAAATTGTAATTTTCAGATTTCTATAGCTGGGAATGAAAAAAAAATGAAAAAAAAAGGGGGGGGGGGGTTATCCCTTTCGTCGAAAATTTTCAAAAATAGGGGTATGCACTGGCGGATTTGAAACAGGGGTATGCGAGGTATGTGAACAATTCTTCGAAAGTCAGAAAAAAAACAAGCCCAAATATGAGAATTGACCACAAATCATGTTTTGGAAACTTGAAACTTATGTTATTATAACTTTTATCAAAGATTGAATTCACAAACTTCTCCAATCTCTTTTCTTTGGCAAATTGACTCTCTTGAGCAATTTTTTGTATTAATTTTCCGATAAAAGTTATTCTAACATGAGTTAGAAGGCTACAAAGTCGCGATTGTTCAGAAATCATCCATTTTGGCTAATTTCCAGACTTTCAGAGAGTCGTTCAGCAAAAAAAGAAGACGCGATCTTCTTCAGCACAAAAACCTCTCTATTTCTCATTGAAAATCGTCGAATTCCTCCAAATTTCATTCAAATTTGAAATTCATTATTAAAATCCCGCCCTCCGCTACATATAGAAATAAAAAACTTACTTTTCCCATTTGAAATTATCGACATCTTCGAATCGATCGGTTCTTCTCATCTTCATCGATTTTCTGAAAAAAAACGAATAGTTTTCATTTTTATCGAAAAAAACCAACTTTTTTATGAAATCCACGTTGTCGCCGTGTTGACTTTTGTTGGTGCTTCCTTTCCATCCAAATAAAAACTGAAAAAATCATCATTTATTATGTAAAACCGGCTGTAACACGAAAAAACACTGAAAAAGAAAAAAAATTAAAAATTAAAAATAGCAAACTGCAAACACGGCGACGCACAATTGCACACAATAATTTTGAACAATTTTTTTTGTTTTTTCTCGTTTTGAAAGTTTTAATGGTTTCCGATGTGAAATTCATGTTTTTTCAGTGTTTATTCGAATGGAAAGGATGCACCAACGAAAGTCGACACGGCGGCAACGTGGATTTCATAAAAAGGTTGGTTTTTTTCGATGAAAATGAAATATATTCGTTTTTTTCAGAAAATCGATTGAAATGAGAGGAACCGATCGATTGGAGGATGTCGATAATTTCAAATGAGAAAAGTAAGTTTTTTTTATTTTTATATGTAGCGGAGGGCGGGATTTTGATTATGAATTTCAAATTTGAATGAAATTTGGAGGAATTTGACGATTTTCAATGAGAAATGAAGAGGTTTTTGTGCTGATCAAGATCGCGTCTTCTTTTTCGCTGAACGACTATCTGAAAGTCAGTAAATCAGCCAAAAATGGACGATTTTTGAACAATCGCGAATTTGTAGCCTTCTAACTCATGTTAGAATAACTTTTATCAGAAAATTAATACAAAAAATTGCTCAAGAAAGTCAATTTGCCTAAGAAAAGAGATTGGAGAAGTTTGTGAATTCAATATTTGATAAAAGTTATCATAGCATGAGTTACAAGCTTCCAAAACGTGATTTGTGGTCAATTCTCACATTTGGGCTTGTTTTTTCAGACTTTCGAAGAATTTTTCAGTTAAAAAATGAAGACAGCTTGAGAAAGAAAGTAGCAAGTGATCGCAAAAAATGACTTTTAACGAGTTTGCTACATTTTTTTATCATTAAAAAAAATCGTAAGCTGGCCGAAAATTGAATTTTTTTTGCACTTTCGTCTTTTCTCCCACTGAGTCTTTCTCATTTAGAAAAACTCTACAAATTGGTACATTTCAGTTAAAATCTCTCCGAAACTCTGGAATTCTCTGAATTTTTCGGATGAAAAATTCGTACAAAAAATTATATAGTGAATTTGGAAAAAATAATGATTTTTTATTTGTATTTTTTTGTCTCTTTCAACTTTTGTACCAAATAGATTTTAAAAATTGAAAACTTTCTCAAAAAAATATCACAAAGAAGTTGAAGTAACTAAAATATACTAGAGCAAAAAAATTTCATCAAATTTGATTATGTGTCTCCTGAAATTCTAACATGTATCTAGCCAAAACTTTAACTTCCTCCAATGTAATCTACTATATACTAATTGAAAACTGCTTTTCGAAAATAGTTTGTCCGCGATCCGTTCAGGTCTTCAACGTTCATAAAAATTGATGATCAAAAAATGAAAAGTTTGCAAATTTTGGCACCTTGGTGCACATACCATCTGTTTTTGATGAATTTTAGTCGGGGTGCGCGGAGCACAAAAAGTTTGAAAACTCCAATGTATTTTTCGATTTAAAAATGTGTCGCAAGACTTTTCTCAATTTACAGAAGACCATTTTTGATGGGACCTTCACCATTCGATCCCAAATTCTTTCCCATCGAGGCGCTAATATTTTGTTTTTCAAAAAGTGCGCGAGTTTTCACGTGAAAAATCAAAACTTTTTTCATGCTAAAAAGAATGATCACGTTTTTAATCAGAAAAATGGCTAGGTCACGTTTCTTATCTGATCTTTCTATTTCATTCATAGAGGGGGGACATTTTTAATCATTTCTCGCTATTACTCTACTCCTAATCGGTTTGAAAAATAAATAGAAAAAAAGTGAGTTAGATTACAGTGGATAAATTTATAATTTGTTCGAACTTTCAGATATTGGATAATTTCTTTTACAAGAAGAAAAACAAATACTTTAATGTGAATGTTTGATAGTGAGTTTTGATGTGTTTGGGAATCCCAATATAGTTAAAGGGGGGGGGGGTAAGACGACAAAATTTTTTTGTCGCAAAGTTAAAGGCTCCCCAAAAGTAGTAAAACCTCCAAGGGATTTTTTCTGGAAACGCCCAGAAAAAATGTTCCATAAACTAGGTACCACGTATAAACTAGGTACATAAACTAGGTATACGTTGAAAAAAGTTCATGGAATATTTTTTTCGGACCTTTTTAGGCCTTTCGAGAAAAAATCCCCTGAGGCTTTTACTATTCAAAGGGAGCCCGATTCATTGAGCAAATAAAATTTTGTCGTCTTAACCCCCCTTTAAGCCCAAACAACAAACCCGAATTTTTTCAAAAAAAAAAAATCGGACCAAGTTTTTTCGTTGGATGAAAAAAAATCGGCCCGAGTTTTTTTCAAAAAAAAATCGGCCCGAGTTTTTTTCAAAAAAAAATCGGCCCGAGTTTTTTCAAAAAAAATCGGCCCGAGTTTTTTCAAAAAAAAATCGGACCGAGTTTTTTCAAAAAAAAAATCGGCCCGAGTTTTTTTCAAAAAAAAAAATTAGGCTTTAGGCTTAGGCTTAGGTAAGTTTTCCTTTTTTAACACTGTTAAAAAACGAGAATTTGTGTTGTTGGATGACGTCATCCCGCCCGTAAAAAGTCACAGATTTGGAATAATCCAAAAATGTAAAAATGAGATCGATGAGTTTCAAAGTAAAAAGTCACAGATTTGGAATAATCCAAAAATGAAAAATGAAGTCGATGAGTTGGGACCTAAATGACACTACCTCTCAGGCTTAGGCTTAGTAAGCCACCCAGAAGCAACTTTGAAGCTAAAAAAAATTGAAAGAAAATTTTTAACACTGTTAAAAAACAAGAAAATTCAGAATTTCATCCAGAAATGAAATTATTGAGAAAAAATCATGTCTCCAAACCGAAATTTCTGTTTGGAGACGGTCATCTCTATAATTATGCAAATAAAAAAGAGATTCAATAAGTTTTTTAAAAAATTTTTGATGACGTCATCCATGGCAAAATTAGGGAGCCTTCCTGATTTTGCCACGAGTCATTTTTTGATCAAAAAACTTTTTTAACACTGTTAAAAAAACAACTCATCGACTTCATTTTTACATTTTTGGATTATTCCAAATCTGTAACTTTTTTGTTGACTTGTGTCAAAAATTTTGAAAAATCTCGGACCGATTTTTTTTGTTGAAAAATCTCGGACCGATTTTTTTTGTTGAAAAACCCGCCCGAATGAACATTTCGATTTGGGCGGGTAGTGAACAATCTCGGGCCGATTTTTTTTCCGATTTTTTTTTCTTCAAAGTAATTTCTAGGTGGTTTACTAAGCCTTAGCCTAAGCCTGAGCAACGTTTTCAACTTTTTTATAAACTTTTGAGCTTCTGAAATGTCAAAAATTTCGCTTCAAATATTTTTGAACAAAAAATTCCAAATTTCGGCTATCAAAAAATGATCTAGAACCTCTGAATTTTATCATTTTTCTTCATCTATTTTTTCTAAACAATCCCAAATAATTTTCGAAATGATTTTCTAACTTTTCACCTCACGTTTATCAATCAATTTCATTTTACGTGACCCATATGCCAATTTTTCATTCCAGATTTTTATTAAAAATTTAAAAAAAATGCCTAAGTTTTGAAATCGAAATTCTGAGTATTGTACGTTGCTCAGAATCACCAGACGAACAACTTTCAAAAAAATTTTATAATTGGACAAATTTTTTTTTTTCATTGATTTTCGGATTTTTGAAAAATCGATTTTTTTGTGTTTAACTGCCCATAACTCGCTTCATTGAAACGATGGACCTAAACAATTTTTTTTAAATTGTAGCGCTAAGCGAGCTCTACAAGTCTGAATAGGACTCGCAAGATAAAAATGCAAATTTTCATGAGTTATGGAGGTGGCAAGATTTTGGTACATCACATATCATGGTATGGCCATGAAACCTATGCATGGGATATTGAGAAATTCTTCTGAAAGCTTGCAAATGTCCTTATAATGAAATTCCCGAAAGGAATTTTTCACAACTTGATTATTGGTCTTGTAAATATTTGTTTCCCAGGACGCATTTTTGAAATTTCGCTTTTTCTACATTAAAAAGCCGTCAAAATCAATTATAAATGTTTTTTTCGGTCTCAAAATCGAAAAATACCCCTAGGTGAACATTTTCAGAAAGTTTCAGTCACTGGGAACCTGAATTGGTACTTTTTTGTTTTTTCTTCATAACTCACGAACCGTTCATTTTTACGAGAAATAGATGCTTCCAGCGTGTTCAGCACACTAATTTACCCCTAGGGAGATATTTTTTACATCATTTAGACCTTTGGGACCATTTTCGAAAAAAAATTCCACAAAAGATTACTGTAGTTGATCCATTTTTTCGGAAAAAGCGAAACACGGATAGAAAAATAGGATAAACTATTTTTTTTTCTCTCAAAAATCGAGAGAAAAGGAGAGAAAATGAGAGATAAATAATAATAGTTTATCCTAAATTTCACAATTTTTTTTCGATTTTTGAAAATTTGACCAAAACTTCTGAAATTTGTGGGTGGGGGGTTTTCGGCCCTGTGGAGCATCGTGGTGATAATGATTTTACACGAAAATGAGCATATCAGCTCTTATCAGTGATTATCAAAAAATATCAAAATTATCAGATTGAGCTGAAAGTTGGAGGGAATGATGTTTGGTGATAGTAGATGACTTTTTTGATAATTTTAGAGCTCCAGCTTCATCCTATAAGCTCTTATCAGCTTTTATCACTGAATTATCAATATGCTCGGATTTGGCTAAAACTTACAGAAGATGATGTTTGGTGATAGTAGATGACATTTTTGATAAGTTTAGAGCTCCTGCTTCATCCAAGAAGCTCTTATCACATATTATCACTGAATTATCAATATGTTCAGATTGAGCTGAAACTCGGGGAAAATGATATTTGGAATTAATAAAACACATTTTTAATGAGTTTAGAGCTCCAGCTTCATCCATAGAAGCTCTTATCATATATTATCACCAATTTATCAAAATCATCGGACAAGACTGAAAATCAGGACAAAAAATCGCTCATGAAAATTGAAGGTTCGAAATTTTAGTGAAAAAATCTAAAAAAAAATTTAAAAATGAAAACACCATTTTTCAAAAGAAAATTGAGAAACACAACAAAGATCCAGATGTCAATAGAGCGCACTTGATACATATTCATTCATCCCAAAAATATCAACAAAACGGTATGACACAATTAGGACTCACAACTTTCGAACCTTTGAACATATATTCATTCCATCCATCTTGACCAGCACTGCCAATCCCATTTATAGCTACAACTTTTTGAATTTCATATTTTCCATCACTTTTTTTCCGATAATCATCCTTATGAATAATTTCTTCAAGAATTTGTCCAGAATCTGTGCAATTGTGACGAACACCAATCACAATTTCGAAATTCTGAAATGTTTTTGAAAGCTTTAATATCTGACTTCGCCTAACTCACCCATGTCAAGCTTGACTTCTCGACACGATTTTCAAATAAATTATAATAACTTCCATTAAAACAAACCATCTTCGATACTCCAAAATCATCATAATTGATAAGATCCTCTTCTAGATGAAAAATCTGTGAACACCAAGTTTGATTTTGAGGAAAATAATCGCAAGATACAGTGGTTTCGAAGTGGAATTTGGTAGGATTTTCGACTTGTTGTTGACCAAGATCTGCGTGGATGTTTTGAAGAAGGAAGGAAAATATATATGTGAATAATAGGGTAAACATTTGAAAAATGAAATTTGGAATGGAATTTTGGGGTTTCCACAAGTTTATAGATAAAATTTGGAATTATTGGAGCGTGGAAAAAATGTCTGAAGATTATAAAAAAATTGAATTTTGAAAAGTTTTTTGACAGAAGATTTTATCGCAAAAAAAACTTTTTCAAACATTTTTTTTCGATAATACATTATTTTTGATGTTCAGGAGTTTTGGCACCGAAAGTTTTTAGATTCCGAATTATTCAGCAGCAACCCTTTAAAAACACCCACTGTTTTTTCTAAGCGCTTTTAGTATGCGAAATTGGAATTATTATTTTTTTTAAAGGTGGAAAATGAGGAGGTTCTCAAAAAGCGTCTGCATAAAAATGTCGTTTCTATTGTTTGGCAGTACGCAAACAACGCACCTGACGAACATTTCTTTCTTTTCCCTCTCTCATTTTGCACACACAAAAAATACTCTCTATTCTTTTCTTGTTTTTTTTTTTGTTTTTATGAAATTTATTCGTTTTTCAGGAGATTTTCAAGAATTGAAGTTTTGTGATGGAAGAAGGAGAATTATCTGATAAATCTAACCAGAAGGCAAACATTATTCGAGAAGAATTGGATGGATTCGAGAAGAATTGGATGGAGATGGATTCGAGAAGAATTGAATGGAGATTGATTGATGATGGTTCGAGAGAAGATGGTGATTTGGGAAATTCATCGAATACTAAAATATCTGGAAAAACAAATTTTGTCGAAAATGTGAAAATGATGGAAGAGATTATGCAAGTAGTTGAGTTAGATGAACAAATCATTGGAAATGAATTGGATGGAGATATGATGATTGATGATGATTTGGGAAATTCATCGAATACTAAAATATCTGGAAAAACAAATTTTGTCGAAAATGTGAAAATGATGGAAGAGATTATGCAAGTAGTTGAGTTAGATGAACAAATCATTGGAAATGAATTGGATGGAGATATGATGATTGATGATGATTTGGGAAATTCATCGAATACTAAAATATCTGGAAAAACAAATTTTGAGGAAAATATGAAAATGATGGAAGAGAATATGGAAGAAAGCGGAAATGGTTCAAATACTTATGATTCTAAGTATGACCCGACCGAAGAGGAAATGGAAAACCATAGAAAATTAATAAAAGACAAAGAATTGTTATTATCGAAGAAGGCTGTGAACATGTTGTTTCGTGAAAGAGATGTGGTATGTTATTGTGGAAAATGTGTTGATTTGGACGAATTAGAATATTGTTGTGGTTTAATATACCCTATCAATCTAAACATTCAAAAGAGGATGGGCCAAAAAATGTCGGAAAAATTGGACGAGATATTTTGGAATGGGAATTTCGACAAATGCATTGTCGAATGCGCGAACTTCAACAAATATTTAAGAGAAGAAGTGAGTTTCATTCGGTTTGCATAAAGAACTAATTGTAAGCGTTTTATAGATGGTTCAAACTTTCGAAAGTGGTTACAAGTATGCGCTGAACAAGAATGTTTGCGAATGGAAGTCGGAGTGAGTTAATAGTTGTTTCAGATTAATTTTTTCTGTAGATTTTTCAAATTAGTTTTTTACAGGAATTATCGATTTTACTCATATTCCATGTTGGTCAGCGATTTGCACCTCCAATTAAAAAAAAAGCGAATCCCTTTGCCAGCTTGCGTTATTCGGGCAATTCGACAAAAATGGCCATCAGAAACGTATACTGGATTTTTGTCAGCCTTTCCATATGCTTATGAAGAAGAATTTTAATTGTTGTAAACGGTGGTTTTTTTATTGTTGTAAATAAATATGTTCTCGTGAAAATGGAAAAAAGGAATACAAAATGCTAATACAGAAATTAATAAAGAAAAAACTAAAATTTTGATAAGTTCAAAAAAGAAGCTTGGAATTAATAGAAAATTTAAAACTTACAAACTTTCTAATTAAAAACAGAAAAAAAATTAAACTTCTTCATCTTCTGATGATGATGAATCTTCATCGTCTTCGCAAATATCTTCAAATACTCTTGCCATGCGCTTCGCAAAATATTCATTGTCTTTAAGTTTTTCCATTGAGATCCCCTCATCATCATCTCCACTCACAACTTCTTCTGTATTTTCATCAACTTTTTTGAGATTTTTCATAATATCAATTGAGGTGTCGCGAATTTTGAAGCGCCATTCGTGTGTGGAGGCGTTTTTGCATGTCTTCACTCTCTTCTCTTTTTTTGTTTTATTCACTGACGTTTTCCCGCCAACTACAACACGTGTTCCTTCGAATTCGTCCAACTTCAGCTGATTCCAATGCAAAATACTCAAACGGGTAGTCGTTTCGTGTTCATGGAAATATTTATCTTTGGGTGCATATTTAGTCGATAAGCTGTTGAAACTTTCGCACTCACTTGTGCAAAATTTCGCAGAAATTTTGCCGATATCTTCCAATCGATTTCCTTTTATAAAAATTTTCCTTACGATATCCCAGGCATTCATGTCTTTCGCATTATTAACATTCAAAAAACCAGTGTGACTTGTGGATTTTGCATCATGTCGGCAGGCTTTCAGTTTATTGAACTTGAACCATGTGATTTGGTCGAAGTCGGTGTGTTGGTTCGTAATATGAGCAAATGTACTCATGACCATTTCTTTGGCCAACAGAGGATCTCCATTGCTATCTGCTACCGACTGATAAATATTATTAATCATAGCTTGAAGCCATAATTTGATTGGTTCCATCTGTTTTTGATTTCGCTTCGGCCATAAATCCATTGTGATATTCCTAATTAAATGCCATAAGTCGAATTTGTGGATAACCGATGGAAAATGCAATTTCATGTTCGCAGATATTGTTAAACATCGATCAGTCGTGAGAGATCGGATTGGCGGCAAATTTTGGAAATATCCTGCATACATCGAAATCAGTTCCCTCAGTCCTTGCATGTGGGCTGCTGGTTCAAGAGCTTTTGATGCGCCTCCTGATGTTTTTCTCATATTTTTGTAGTGGATAATAAACTTCGTTAAAGTGCACATGAAAATGTATCTACACCAAAAAGCAGAGTATCCACGTGTGTCATACATTCCATCTGAAGCTGCGTCGATAGGGATTCCGATTTTCTTCAAAATTTCCATAATTAGTTGTTTTTGAGCGGCGAATACTGTATTGATTGCAGGAACTACAGCGATTTTTCGAGTATCATAAAATGTTGTACTGGATATTGTTGGCATGTTGATAACATCGAACAGAGCTTTCAGATTCTGGAAAATCGAACATGCTTTTACAACTCTGGCAGTTGATGGATGCTTTTTCAGCCGAAATTCAAAGATTTTTGTGAATTTGTGCATGAAAATTCAACAAATTTGGGGCAGTCTCTGGCTGGGAATTCATCGTTTTTGCCTTTCAGTTTGATTTGATGCTTTTATGAGCAAAAATAAAAAACAAATGGAGCAATTTAGGTGGTCTATTTTGAGGCTAGACTTAGGCAAAAATCTCCATTTTTCTCATTTTAAAGCTGATCTTTTGGTAGACAGAGATGAAAGAACTCACTGAATATGATTGCCCAATTGTTACAATAGCTGATGTAACAATCACATTTATGTCAAATCTTTTGGATGTTGACCCGTCATTTTTCACAATCCTTCTACTGCTTGCCCATTTCCATTGTCTTCCACATTCGCAATAACAGTGAAACTAAAAATGGAACATAATTTCTTTTTATTTTCAAAAAAAAACTCACGTCTAATGCGCATCCTGATTTTGTAGATTTATATTTTGCTTGTGAGCAACATGCTCTACAATACAAAATCAATGGGAGTAGAAGCTGAATTGACACTAGAAGAAAATTGAAGTCGATTTGAAATTCTTCAGGGTTTCCATCAGAATCACTCGAATATTCACACTCCTCTTCGCAAACTTCAGCAAAATCTCTAGTTGTCGGTTGATAATTCTAGAAAATGAAATGTTTTTTAGTGATTTTACTAACAAATAATACCGGATCTTTTATCATATCAATTTGTTCCTGAAATGGATTCACTTCATCCAATCGATCCCGTTGCTCATTTAGAGATTCTGTTGCATCTCCATGAACATCCATATCCTTCTCAAATGCTGTATTCGAAGTTGATGGAGTAATTTCAGCAAGATTTGATAATGGTGGAGTAATTTCAGCAAGATTTGATAATATTGGAGTAATTTCAGCAATATTGGAAGTTGGCGGAGCATGATTCATTGAATTCCGTTGATTCAGAAACGGGAACGGCTTCGGTAACTCTTTTCTTGCGATTTTTCCCCAAGAATCCCATTCAAAATGCGAACGGCAAATATGTGGCTTACTATACATTTTTATATTTCGCACGAAATGAGGCCCCAAAATTTTCTTCCATTTTTCTAATTGTTTTTGGCTCTGTGTGACAAGGCGCATTTGAGGATATTCAAATTTCCCAGCGCAATAACAGCAATGCAGAAAATGCATCTGAAAAAATCTTATTGTGACATGAAAATTTTCGAATATGTCAAATAAACCATTACGGAATAACATAATGAATACGAAATCATTAATAATTCATGAAAAATGAGTTTATTAAACATAAAAAAAGGAAAAACAAAAACAAAAACAAACTCCAGAATTCAAATTTTCCGCCTGTTCGCTGGAGCGCGTTAGCCCCACCTGCAATACATATGGACTTTTTTCGTTTCTCTCCGTTTTTTTCTCCGATGCTCTTTTTTCGCAATTTTTTTAGTAAACGGACATTTCCAAAGTGTAGAAAGGACCCCGGAATGAATCAAACTTGTTTTTTCCTCGGATTCCACCTTTAAAGTAATTCCATCCTTTGTTCTGATGGTGAGAGAGTGTTGGAAAATGAGAGAGGCAGAGAAACATGGTTTATGAAGTTTCTGTTGTGGATTCTTCTTCTTCTTCTTTTTGTGATTTTTCGGGTTTGTATATCCTGAAAAATTGGAAAAATTGAATCGCAGAAATACTTGACTGATGAAAAAATAGGCCCAAAAGCTTCGGGGCTCCAAAAAACCAGAACTTTCATGACTCACAAAGACTTGAACATCAACCTCGTACAGGCCTAAATACATGCCTAGAAGCTCCCCGTACATAAAAAACTGAAAATTCCGATTCTGATCCCCAGGATTTTCGCGAGAATGCCGTTTCGGGAAGCGAAATCAGAATTCTCCATAACATATAGCTCCGCTTAGGAGTTCTCAGACAGGTAAAACCCATTTATAAACGTTTCATGAAAAAACCTAGTGTTAAATTTTCAAAAAATTGACAAACAGGCTTGCCGCTCTGCCGCACATGCACCAAAAGTGCGCACAACTTTTCTCTGGCTTGTGCGAAGTGATCAACTCATACTTGACTATTTTTCGGGGCATTGTGGTTTTTTCAAATAATGTCGATAATATCGATGAATCAACATGTTATGTTTTATAATGATTTATTTTGATATGTATGACATGTTCATGACAATAATGTTTTGTTTTAATATGACTTTGTTTTGTTATAGCCATTATATATCATTTTATTAAATATCAAATTATATTTATTTGATTCGTCCTTCATTTTTGGTGGAGGTGAGAGAGTGTGCAAAAATAAGAGACCCACCGTATAGTTTTCGTCATAACAGCTATACCAATTGCAAGATGCAGTGTGGAGAGAAAAATTTTGAATTTGAGTATTACTGTAGGGGTACTGTACCTTGTAAATCAGCAATAATTCGATTTTTGAGTTCAATTTTGAGATCACATCTTTCGGATCGTGTTCCATTGTGAATAGAAAACGGCAGTTTTGTGTTGGAAGGGAAAGAGACGTGTTTGAAAAAAAAAGAAAAAGACATTTCTTCTGAAATTTTCTATCGGAGTTCAACTCATGCTTAGAAGTCTGAAAATTTTCAGAATCTCTCATACATAGTTCTAAAAACAATAATATTCAAAAATGAAATCGAATACGGATTTGCAATTCGGTGTTAAGGTGAGTTGTAAGAAAATAGCAGCTATGCGGATTTTATTTTCCAGATCGCTTTGATTATTGTGGGAGTGGTGCATTTGTTGTTGGGTTTGACGGTTTTATTTCAAGCACTTGGGTATGTTTATAAATACGTAGAAGGGTCTCGTTTTTTTTGAGATTATCAAATTTTTTCAGAGAAAGAATGGCAGCTGAAAACGTTATCCATGAATTTGAAAAAATTAATTCTACTAGGATTGAAACAATAACAAAAGAAGCCACAATTGCACCAGCTGTTTTAATGCCATTCATCGCTGGAACAATCTGTCTGATCTCCATCTCCGTCTGCGTCAAACAATGTTTTATATGTATAATTGGTGCCAATATTCTTGAGCTCCTCTTATTTATTGTTGCATTGATACGCTCTCATATAGTTTATAGTGCTACGAGCGATGCTTTTGATATATTGAGAGAAGCAGACAAAGCTGGCAAGATCTCATCGGAAAAAAAAGTTTTATGATGCTATGATGTTTTTGGAATTAGGTCTGGAGGCGAATATTTTCTTTTGTTATAGTGGATTATTTCTCACAATTGCATCAATTGCAGTCACTGCACTCCTTGCATTCAAGAAACCTTCTAAATAACTAATGAAAAATGTTTGAAGAAAAAAAAAGATTTTGGTGGGATTGTGTAATTGCCTCTGCGTCTCTAACTTTCTAACTTCCCTCTCAGAAGGAATGCTTCCCAAAGTGACCCCACCGATTTGGATGAGACTGGGTGGAAACTTCTTAGTATTGGCGGGTATGAAAAACCCTAGGGGATTTTTCCAACAAAAATTTATTTCCTGACTTAGGCTAAGTTCGAGATTTTTTGACTCAAAAAGCATGTTTCAACTTCAAAAATTCATAATTGAGTTCATTTTCAAGTAAATGACTCGACTAAAAAACCAAAATGTAGCTAAAACACTGTAGTTTTCGAAAAAAAATAGACCTGAACACAAAAAAATTTTTGAAAATTAAAAAATGGGGTCACAAGGAGAATCAATTTTTTGCCTCATCACGTACTTGATGAAAGGAGGCAAGTACGTGAGTTCTAGTTGCGATTTTCGAACTCTACGCGCAAAATTAGGTCCAGGGACCCATTTTCAGAAAAATTGACCGTTCTATATTAACATATCGTATTTTTATGTCTCATTTCAAGGTGAAAATCCGGGAAAAAAGTGAATTTTTTGGGTGTACCTGTTCATGGCCGAGTGGTTAGCATGCATGGTTACCAAGAAATCGGTCGTAGGTTCAATCCCCATGCTGACATATTTTTTTTAAAGCTACATCAAAGTCTAACTTATATTTATCTGAAATTGATTTGTTTCGGCTCAATTATTAGCAAAAAGTGAAACCTTTGAAAAAGAAAAAATCCTCAAAGCGCAAATGCTTGACGGAACGTTAGGTGAGGTTTGACTCCATGTCAGACTGACCCTCAAGGCATGGCTCCTCGAAAGAGACACTCTCAAGGCGTGGCTCCTTGAGGATATACGTTTTCAACGCGTTGCACCTTGACAAAGTGATCCTCAAGGCGTGACTCCTTGAAATATACGCTCTTAAAGCGTTGCTTCTGGACAAGTTGAGCCAAGACGTGAATCCTTGGAAGACACGCTCTCAAGGCGTGGCTTCTTGACAAGCTGACCCTCAAGGCGTGGCTCCTTGACAAACCGACATTTTGCGAAAAATCGCTTAAGGAGCGGTTCCTTGACAGTAAAAATGTCAAAGTTCTTGACAAAACAAACATTACTTTTCTTGACAGAGGACTTTCAAGGAGCCACGCCTTGAAAGCATGTCTTTCAAAGTGCCACGCCTCGAGGGTCGGTTTGTTAAGGAGCCACGCCTTGAGAGTGTCTCTTTCGAGGAGCCATGCCTTGAGGGTCAGTCTGACATGGAGTCAAACCTCACCTAACGTTCCGTCAAGCATTTGCGCTTTGAGGATTTTTTTCTTTTTCAAAGGTTTCACTTTTTGCTAATAATTGAGCCGAAACAAATCAATTTCAGATAAATATAAGTTAGACTTTGATGTAGCTTTAAAAAAATATGTCAGCATGGGGATTGAACCTACGACCGATTTCTTGGTAACCATGCATGCTAACCACTCGGCCATGAACAGTTACACCCAAAAAATTCACTTTTTTCCCGGATTTTCACCTTGAAATGAGACATAAAAATACGATATGTTAATATAGAACGGTCAATTTTTCTGAAAATGGGTCCCTGGACCTAATTTTGCGCGTAGAGTTCGAAAATCGCAACTAGAACTCACGTACTTGCCTCCTTTCATCAAGTACGTGATGAGGCAAAAAATTGATTCTCCTTGTGACCCCATTTTTTAATTTTCAAAAATTTTTTCGTGTTCAGGTCTATTTTTTTCGAAAACTACAGTGTTTTAGCTACATTTTGGTTTTTAGTCGAGTCATTTACTTGAAAATGAACTCAATTATGAATTTTTGAAGTTGAAACATGCTTTTTGAGTCAAAAAATCTCGAACTTAGCCTAAGTCAGGAAATAAATTTTTGTTGGAAAAATCCCCCTAGGGTTTTTCATACCCGCCAATACTAAGAAGTTTCCACCCAGTCTCATCCAAATCGGTGGGGTCACTTTGGGAAGCATTCCTTCTCAGGTTTTTTTTTGAAAATTAACGTTTGCCACGAAAAATTGTTTCCACGTGACCTTCCCCGAAAAAATCAAGATTGTCATTTCACAAAAAATGTGGACTTCAAAAATTGAATTTCACAAAGGAGTTAAGGTAACCAAGGGGGATACTGTAGCTACAGTAGCTCTAATAAATACTGTAGATCGTAATTCTTCTGATTGCCATGTTTCATTTGTTGATTGGAATTGGAATGGTTGTTGAGATGTTTAGGTGAGTGAAAAATTCAGATTTTAGCTTCAAAATCACCGTAGTTTTGTTGAATCAATTGTTTTGCAGAGAAGTCGAAATCACCTCAAATCTTCATTCAAAAATGCCCGCCTACAATTCGCCCAACACAATTTTTCCCGCAATTATCGCGCCATTCTTCAGCGCCACAATTTTGGCGATTTTCCCCATTCTCACACCATTTTACCTATTGATAATCCCGATTTTTGTGCTCGAAATCATCGAAGTCGCGCTGCACTTCTACGCGATTTTTCTGATTCGCGAATGTCGCGACAAATTCGCCTATCAATTTCAATTCGCAAACGTTTTGATTTCGCTTCCCGACACGGCATTTTCGCGAAAATCGCAGAAAAATGAGGCGTTTTGGGTGTGTTGGTGGGATTTGGAGCGGTGCTTTTTGGTGCATCAGATTTTGATCGGAATCGGCATTTTGGTGGTGATTGCGACTTTTTGTTTGATTGGATGGGTTGCGAGGTGAGCTTTGGAAGGAGTTTTGGGGATCAGAATCGGAATTTTCAGGTTTTTTAGGCCCAGAAAGCTTCCGGGGTAAATTTTCAGAAATTTGTGGGGCTCAAGTCTTAGTGGGTCCAAAAAATCCCGGTTTTTTGGTTCCAGGAAAATTTTGGGCCTATTTTTCTATCGATCAAGTATTTCTTTTCCAATTTTTCAGGATCTACAAACCCGAAAAGCCACAAAAAGAAGAAGAAGAAGAATCCACAACGGAAATTTCATAAACCATGTTTCTCTGCCTCTCTCATTTTCTCACCTTCAGAACAAACATTTCGCATATCACTAAAAAAGTATTTTCAAACTTTTTTCGAAAAAACTTCATCCACGTGGCATAAACTTCAGTAAAAAAAGGTGTTTTTGCCACAATTCAAAAATTGCGCATACCTTGCGTAATTTCGCTGAAATTCCAGAAATAAACCTGATAAAATCCGAGGTTTTCAAGATTTTGAAAAATCAAGAAAACCTCGAATCATTCTTCTTGCTACGCTTTTTCTAATGCGATTTCCTAACAAAAACAGAATATGAAATCGTATTATGATCAAGGTATAAAACAAGGAATCATCAAAGAGAGATGAAATTCAAAAATGATTCGACAATATTTTCTTGCAATTTGCATTTTTCTTGCGATTTCTGTCAATGCGACAAAATTTGACATTAGAGCAGAGTTGATCTGTAACTTCCAGAAACAATGGCAATACACGGCCTATTTCTATGAATACGATGTTTATTCGTGAGTTTGAGTGAGACTATATTACCCCAGAGCGGTAAAAACTAATACAGATCAAGCGAAGGGATGCACACCACACCAGTTTACGCGAGCGTTCAACCCAACTCAAGTTTTGCCGCTTCATTTGAATACAATGAAGGTGATGGTTCTGGCGATAACTACTACGAGACTTACATGACAATAACTCACACTTGCACCGACAATGGTCATCAGGCAACAGCCGCTTTCTTTATCGGAACTGTTCCAGTTGACAGCACTGGTGCTTTGATTGAACAAAGATACATTATTGACACAAAATGCCACTCGTCTTTTTGTGTTTTGGTTCACACACAACAATAATTGAATTCGGTGCTATCATTAATGTTTTTTACAACTTTTGATCAGCATTTTTTTTTGAGAATATAATAATTTTGGGATCTACAGTAACCTCTTTTCTGGATTCCTCAAAAGATTGCTCATATTAAGTACTGTAGAAATCTCCATTAGCTTTGGATCTCGGATTACTGTATCTCTGAAATCTTTCATTTTCATCTTCATCCATCCCAAAAACTTTTTATTTTATTTATATAGAAAAGAAAAAATAAAACGAAAAAAAATGAACAAATAAATATTTTGGCTGTGTCTGCGTCTCTTTAAAATGACCCTGCTCTCAATGTTTTGCCTCCCCAAAAATTTTTCTGTGAAGGGAAATGAAAAAATATACAATCATGATATGAGCGATCAGGATCTGATAAAAACTATACTATGACGTGGCAAGATATCACGAAATACGAATAAAATACACTCTGGCAATCAAAGAGTCGAGCTATTCAAAGTTGCTACTACAACCAAATTCTGCCGCCTTTTCGAAAAAATTCTCTGAAAACAACGACGATACGGAGTAACGTAGATGAAATATGTCAAAGGAGATGTGATTGGGATGAGCATAAAGATAGTGAAAGTTAGATATTCGAGAATTGGATGATGGAATAATCCGAGTTGACCGATTGTGTAAGAGAGCACTGCAATTAGATAGACGCAGGGGAGACAGGCTTGAATGGTGAGCACCTGGAAATGTGGGAATTTTTGGAGCATTGTTCAGCCGAATAGTTAGCTCTGACTCACTCTCAACAATTGTTTCTGCAACTTCCTGGTCTCCTTGGTCACCCTGAAATCTTTGGCCTCCAAACTCCGAACAATTTTTCTTCTCAAAATCAAAATTCCCAAATAAACCGGGCAAATTGGAAGTGTCATGTGAAAAATCGAGAAAAGAGTTCCGGGCACGAAAATATCCAGAGTTCCTGAAACACAACTTCCAAGCATTTCATCCCGGTATTCTGGATATATCTCCAGGATTTTTGCTTGGATTTCTGAACTTGGGGAGAATGAGTTGGCGTAGATCAGGAGTTGCGCGAAACTTGGCAGGTAGATCAGAAATAGGGCCAAAATGACGGGTGTAATTCGCGGAGCATCGTTGGAAATCACATAGAATCGATAGTAAAATGAGATTAACAAGGAGTAGAGGGAATGTGAGATGAAGTGGAGTAATATAGAGTAGCCTAACTCGCAGGCCCGTTGACCTAGAGCCCGACAAGGGCCGTTGGAAAAATAGGCCAGTGTCCGGCCAGCGGGAATGAGACGCTGTTGCTCGAAGAAATCGAAAAAACTTGCGCAGAAATCGGTGATCGCAAAATTTATAATAACACAGCTTAAGGGCGTCCGGTCCGCGGCGGACCTGTGACAGACCCGTAAAACACCCGTGGGCAAAACACCTGTGACAGGTCTGAGACGTGTCGATTTTGACCTGTAGCCCCACCTGTGAATGACCCGTATGAGACCTTTTTCCTACTTTTCGGTTGACCAACTACAATTTTTTGAACAATGTATAACAATGTATAATCAATAAAAATTTATTAGAAAATCAAAAAAAAATTAGAAAAACTTATTTTTCATGGCTTTTCCGATGCATCTCTTTGATTTGCGGGGAAGTTGGGTGCGGTGGAGTAGGTTTTGTCATTTAATAGTAAAGGCGATATGGTGTAATTCCTTGAATACACAATTCTTGGTGACACCAATCTGTCGCTCATGTCGTCGTGAGAGAAGACTGTGTCAGCTGGAAGTTGCTTCTCGATGTGCTCGCAAGAAAAGTCCATCTTTTGGGCAAAGGTTCCTCTGTTGATTTGAATTCCGACTAAATCAGCCTTCTTTTGACGGCGGTTGAGGAACTACATCTGAAAGTAAAGAACCATTAGAATCCGACTTTCTTATTTAAGTTATCAAACCTGCGTGTGATCAGTTACATGGATAAACTATGCTTTTGAGCTTGTTGAAGTCGGATTCGATGAGTTTCTTTCCATCTTGATCTTGCCATTCCAACACAGTTGGTGATATCCTTGTTTTTGAGGCAGACTATAAATTTATATTACGTTTACGTAAATTAGTAAATTATAAGTTGTGACGAATTCAAGAATCAAGAAACGACATGTCATTAAAATTGTCAACTCTAACAGGGAACTTCCGAGAATAATTCATTAAAATTGGCTAGAATTGAGTGAAACTGTGAAATATATTCGTTCTACTATTTGGAAATTGAAAAAATCAACGAAAATGAAAAATTATTCTTCCAGGTCTAAATTCATGTTTTATGAATAAATTTTCATGTTCAAAAGAAATTTGCTGCTTGCTCCTAGGCGGGCAACATGGTTTATACATGTTTCGCAGCTTCAAACACTTAATTTCTCGATAAAACGTCGAAAACACAAAAAAAACGAAAAAAAAGAAAAAAATCAGCGGTGTGCATTTCGTCCGAGAGAAGTACACACAGATATCGCTGCAGGACCTTTTCATTGAATTGCATGCGCCTTTAATTTTTTACCCTTCAAAATTATTTTGGTGGAAAATGGTGAACACCATTCGACGCAGAATTTCGAGCTGAACAAAATGATTATAAATTCATCTTGTGTTTTGACCGATTTTCAATTTTTAGGTTTTTGGTGAATTTTATTTTATTTTTTTGAACTTCACTCAGCCACATCATAAAGAGTTTTCGACGCCGCTGAACATTTCTGATCAAAACGTCGGCATCCTAAATAATGAGCCGGAAATCGGGAATTTTCGAAAGATAAATATTTTTGGAAGCCTACAACTTATGTTAGAAAAACTGCTTAGCAGCTCTGAGAATCGGTTAGCAAAAGTGGAAACGGGTTCTTTCTCAGAGTTGAAAACTATCAAACGATTGATCTCTCATTGAAAATGTCTCAGAGAACACACTCTTCCTTGTCGCACTGGTCCACTATTCTTCTGATTTTTCATTTTTTCAGTTATTGGTCAAAAATGAATCAACTTTCCTATGGGTCATTCACAGGTCATTCACGGGTCATTTCACAATTTATTCTCTCAACTTGAAAAACTACCCACGGAAGACCTGTAGAAGACTTTTCAAAATACTTGTAGAAGACCCGTAAATCACCTGTACAAGGGAAAAACACAAAGTATCTGTAAACGACCTGTGAACCACCTGTGAAAGACCCACGGAAGGCTCATAAAACACCTTTGAATCTTGTCGGTCGGTTACAGGTCTGTCGCGGATCGGACGCCCTTAAGCTGTGAAGGATTGAATAGGTTCTGATGATTTTTGGAGACTTGAAAATTGCGAGATACAGTAGAATGAAATTAAAGGCGCAGCCAAGAAATCCGGCAAATGTGTGGAAGATTTGGAATAGTGTTAGACTTAGACTTGACATTTAATGTGATAAATAATTTTGAAAAAATTTTAAGTTTTTTATGCAACATTTTTTGAATAGAAATTTTTGATGAATAGGGGTAAATTGGGAAAGAATGAAGATTCTTGATTTTTTCAAGCAGAAATGGAGAAATGACGAGAATAAAATACTCTAACAATAAAATTATATTTTCAAAATCGATACGATTTGGATAAACATTAACTTTTTCCAAAATTTCTGATACAAAAAAACCAAAAAAAACTTATTTTTCTGAGATATGGAATAGGTTCAAAATACCAAAATTTTCTAGTTTCAAATAACACAATTTTTTCGGGATACAACATTTTTTGGCAACATTATTGCGATGTTAATCAATCACATTTGCTATCACCCAAAAATGTGACTGTGACCATGGAAAAATTCTGGTATAAAAAGTTTAGTTTGATCTCTTTAGAGATCATTCATTCTCCATTTTATAGTCATGCGCTACAGTGACCAAAGGAAAATAAATTTCGCGCCGGGACCCGCGAAAATTCCAGAATGTGTTTTGATGCATCTTCAGGAGGAGACGCTGAATTTCAAAGGAATGGGCTTAAGTCTTCAAGGTAGATCAATTCAGGCGGGACTTTGTAGATCATGTTGAAACTTCCAGAAATGTCACAGCGATCACCAATTGTTATCAAAATTCTTGACGAGACTCGAGACCTCATTCGCAACTTGATGTAACTCGAAACCTCTCCCTCCTTCCCCCACAAAAACTTTTTTGCAGGCAAGTTCCGAAAGATTTCGAGATTCTTTTTATGCAAGGCGGGGCAACAGCACAATTTTCAGCGATTCCGATGAATCTAAAATCCAGCAAAAGCCACGCAGATTATTTCATAACTGGAAGATGGTCGCAGAAAGCAGCAGAGGAGGCTGAAAAATATCTGACAGTTCACAAAGTCTTTGAGCCCTCTCCAGATTTCTCGAAAATTCCTGAAGAATCCCTTTGGAGTTTCACAATCAGCGAAAATTCAGCCTATACCTATTATTGCGCAAATGAAACTGTGCATGGTGTCGAATTTTTGGCGCCCAAATCGAAATCACTTTTGGTGGCTGATGTTTCCTCCTGTTTTCTAGCAAAGCCATTTGATTTCAAAAATCACGCTCTACAGTGCGTTTCATAATGATAGGTTCACCCCCAAAATTTCTGAAATCAGCCGAGGTGTGAGTTGTAATAACAATCCGAGTTAAAAATAAAAAAGAGCACACAAAATTAGCTAAGAAAACTCAATTTTATCTGAAACTACCAAATAATAAAAAAATAAATGACCGGAGTTCAAAAATTTCAAAAATTTAGCGTTTCAAAACGATAGGTTCACCCGCAGTAGTACTGTAGTTATGTTTCGTGGTAGGAGTTTTATCGAATATTCTGGAAAATACGAGTGATATTTGATTATTTTAACGTGTTTCTGTTTTTGTTCTCGTTTTTTCACGTCATTCATCAATGTCGCGGGGAAGTCATCTTACAAAAGAGGAACAAGCTCAAATTAGAGCATTCAAAATCGCCGGATGGTCCAATAGAATGATTTCGTCAAAATTGAAACGATCTCTCAACTGTATTAATCAATTTGTCAACAATCCGGATCACTATGAGCGAATGAAAAACACTGGAGCTCCCAAAAAACTCACGGAGAGAGATAAACGAGGGATTGTTAGGTTGGCTTCGAACACAATGAAATCGTGTAATGACATCAAAAACGAGCTGGGTTTGAATATCAGTAAGACTACAGTTTGGAGAGCCATAGACCAATCCCCAGAAATCGTTCGAGCCAAATTGGTGCCAGCTCCGCGTCTCACACTTCGCCACAAAGACAACCGTCTTACTTTCGCAAAAGCCAACATGGCCACAGATTGGGATAAGGTAAGTAATTTTTCTAAAAACATCAAATATTGATGTTTTCTTGTTCAGATAATTTTTTCTGACGAAAAAAAGTTTAATCTTGATGGTCCGGATGGTTACAACTCATACTGGCATGATATCAGAAAGGATCAACTTCGCTTCCCAAAGAGAAATTTTGGAGGAGGACGGGTTATGTGTTGGGGCGCATTTTCTGCAGCTGGAACGTTAAAAATAGCTTTTGTTTCATTCAAGATGGATTCGTTAGATTACCAAAAACCCTCCATGACTATCTTTTGCCATATTTGAGGCGGTTCCGGACCAGAAAGTTCACTTTTCAACAGGATAATGCTGCCATCCACGTCAGCCAATCATCAAAAGATTGGTTCAAAAGCCACAAAATCAAAGTTTTGGATTGGCCAGCGTGTTCTCCTGATCTTAATCCGATGGAAAACGTATGGGGAGCTCGTTCGCCGAGTTTATGCTCAAGGAAAAAAATATGATACTGTGGACCAACTCAAAGATGCCATCGAGACGGAATGGAATAAAATCGATAAGAACTACCTCAAGAGACTTGTTGACTCGATGCCAAATCGTCTCTATGATGTCATTTCTAAACATGGAGGTCCAACTAAGTATTGATTTTCGATTATATGTCTCCAATGGGAATTCTGGATTAGGTGAACCTATCGTTTTGAAACGCTAAATTTTTGAAATTTTTTGAACTCCGGTCATTTATTTTTTTATTATTTGGTAGTTTCAGATAAAATTGAGTTTTCTTAGCTAATTTTGTGTGCTCTATTTTATTTTTAACTCGGATTGTTATTACAACTCACACCTCGGCTGATTTCAGAAATTTTGGGGGTGAACCTATCATTATGAAACGCACTGTAGTTTTTGGGGGCACTCAGAAAAATCTTGGCGCCGCTGGTTTGACAATTGTGATTGTTCGAAATGATCTAATCGGTTTCGAACTTCCAACAACACCAGGAATTCTAAACTACCGTGAAATTCGAGATAGCTCAAGTCTATACAACACCTTGCCAGCCGGAAATTTACGAACAACTAACTTGGTTTTAAAGTGGATCAGAGATCAGGGAGGAGTCCAGAAAATGTACCAAAACAATTTGGAGAAAAGCAAATTGATTTATGCAATCATAGATAGTTCGGAAGGATTTTATAGATCAGAAATTGCCCCACAAAATCGATCAATAATGAATATCTGCTTTGGAGTTTCAGGAAATTTGGAAGAAAAATTTTTGTGCGGAGCCGAGCAGCGAGATATGCTAAATTTGAAGGGACATCGAAGTGTTGGCAAGATCAGAGCATCAATTTATAATTCGACCAGAAGGGCTCCGCCGGCTAACGCCGGCTCCTCCTTCTGGATTGTCCCGGCTTCGCGCGTAGTTTTCTTTAGGTGTAAACAGAAACATGTTTCGTAAAATACGACAGAGTTGTAGTTTTTGAAAAGTTGGAAAAGATTCTTTCAACAAAAACCGAAATTTTGATTTTCGTTGAATTCTTTCTCCGCTAGGTATGATTTTTAAATTTTCTGAAGAAAAATTTTCTACGTCTCAAAAACTAAAGCACAACATTTGGCGGAACTGTTCCGAAAATCTAAAATCTATATCCAAAAAATCTATATCCAGAGAGAAAAGAAATGCTGCCTTATTTTCTGAGTATAAGCTTCTATGTTCCATCTGAAATTTTCAGAGCCGTGGAAGATAAAACCAAAGTACAGTAAACTCCGCCGCCCTCTGATTATTTTCATTGATTCATTCGGGCCGATTTTTTTTCATCCAATTTTTTTGAAAAAACTCGAGCCGATTTTTTTTTTTGAAAAACCTCGGTCCGATTTTTTTTTTTTTTGAAAAACTAACTAGTTGAAAGGGCAGACACTCTTTTCGGATAGAGTCAGTCGAAACTGACACTAAACTGCTTTATTCAGAGTCAACAAACTACGTCCGAGAACGTCTGGCTTGTTCTAATAATTGCACCCGTCCTTGCGTCAGGGTTTAATTGCATGTATTAGCTCCAGTATTTCCGCAGTTATCCATATTAGAATTCCGAACGAGATGATATCTGCTCTAATGAGCCGTACGCAATTTCATTGATGAATCAAGCATGCATGGCTTAATCTTTTACTTGAGCATATCGCGCTGACAGAATCAATCAGGTATATCGCATTTCAAAAACACGAAGCAATCGAGACTTGACGAAATTCATCATCAAGCATCAACCATGTTATCCAAATTAACTTCAAAGAAGCTAACCCTTCAAAACAAAGTTTTACTCTCGCAAACGTCCCAATGAAAACAATCGTTACCAAATATAATTCAATTCGCACAGTACTGATGCAACAATATGTTTTAGTAAGCCTAGAAACTAAGTTCTAGAACAAACATCAAACATAAAGACGCAACAATGCCGAAAACCAACTACAGTCAGCCACCAGCATTGTCACTAGAAAGTTGAGTGTACACAAGCCGCAAAAGGCTGCCAAAAACCACCATTGAAGAATAAGCACCCGACGACAATACATCAAGAAACTCATAACAACAACAGTAATTCCAACAATCCCTTCGCTACGCACATCCAACAGACGCGCTTGCTTGTCACTCTCCTAACAATGTCTAGCATCTATCCCTTCCCCGCACTACATTCGAAAAAAATCTTAAGGGGTATGAGAAAATGGGAAAAAAGTGAAAAACTATTTTTTTTGAGAGAGGGGGGACGGATAGAATACTTCTCTCTCCCCATTTTTTTCTAGTGCTTGCGAAGAAAAGGGGAAAGTGTTGGGCTGGTGTGGTTGCGAGAAAACCAGCGTTTGTAGGGACGATGACACAAAAATTGAGAACTTAGAAAATTTTTTGAAAATTTTCAAAAAGAAAAAAAAAGTTTCGCTACTAGTTAAGTTAAGTTAACTTTTTTTTGTTCCAACCGCAATGATGTTTTTCACTAAATTTTTTCATATATACACAAACTTTTTCGATATTTTTTCAATTATCATCTATAAAACACTAAAAAATATACCTAAAAATCGTCTATTAACTTTGACCTCAAATTTTATTTTTTAGAAACCTTTATTTTTTAATCCCAAAAAAACACCCCTGGGGAATCTCTTTTTAGACAAATTACAAACTTAAAATATTAAAAAATTCATTCCTAGAAATGTGTTTTGCCTGCCCAAAGTAGGTCCACTTTTTCAACTTTGACACCCCATAAAATCAATTCTAGGCCAAAAATTAAAATTCTGCTCCCAATGATCTTCTTAAAATATTCCCCTATATCGATTTACCCTATCAAAATCCATTTTTAAGACTATCATTTTTAACACAAAACCAAATAGACACAGTCTGAAAGCCTGTGTCTGGTTTCGATTCAATCACAAAATTCGGAGACCCTTCGAATTTTTTCAAAAAAAAAATCGGGCCGATTTTTTCAAAAAAATTTTCAAAAAAATCGGTCCGAGATTTTCCAAAAAAAGTTACAGATTTGGAATAATCCAAAAATGTAAAAAAAAATCGACCCGAGATTTTTCAAAAAAAATCGGGCCGATTTTTTCAAATGTTCTGCCAATTTTTCTGTTTTTAACAGTGTTAAAAATTTTGATTACCTTAGGCTTAGGCTTAGGCTTAGCTGATTAATATAGACTTAGCTTCAAAAATTTGTAAATCTGGAAGACCTTCCAGTTTTACAAATTTTTTTTGTTCAAAAATTTGAGAGATTTTCCAAAAAAATCGGGCCGATTTTTTCAAAAAAATTTTCAAAAAATCGGTCCGAGATTTTCCAAAAAAAGTTACAGATTTGGAATAATCCAAAAATGTAAAAAAAAATCGACCCGAGATTTTTCAAAAAAAATCGGGCCGATTTTTTCAAATGTTCTGCCAATTTTTCTGTTTTTAACAGTGTTAAAAATTTTGATTACTTCAAAAATTTGAGAGATTTTCCAAAAAAAATCGGGCCGATTTTTTCAAAAAAATTTTCAAAAAATCGACCTGAGATTTTTCAAAAAAAAAGTTACAGATTTGGAATAATCCAAAAATGTAAAAAAAAATCGGCCCGAAATTAATTATATTTTTTGAATTAAATGTAGAGATAAATCACACGAATTACAATTGAATTCATAAAAAAATTCAAATTTTTTGATCAAAAAATGACTCGTGGCAAAATTAGGAAGGCTTCCTAATTTTGCCATGGATGACGTCATCGATCAATTTTTGAAAAAAAACATACTTAATTATTTTTTTTTTGAATTAAATGTACTCGTAAGAGATAAATCACACGAATTACAATTGAATTCATAAAAAATTTCAAATTTTTTGATCAAAAAATGACTCGTGGCAAAATTAGGAAGGCTTCCTAATTTTGCCATCGATCAATTTTTCAAAAAAAAAAATCGGCCCGATTTTTTCAAAAAAATCGACCTGAGATTTTTCAAAAAAATTTAGGATAAACTATTACTGTATGTAGAAAAAAGTCATGTATGTGTTTATACAAAAAGTCCCAAATTTTCGTTTAAATTGTCTCTCCAAAAGAGAGACGATTTCAAAATTTACATTGACTCCAAAGTTTTTGGGTCAGTTTTTATTTTTACCTCAAACTTGGGTAATTAAACCGACTTTTTGGGTCGCTGTCCGCTTATACATTATGTGTGTTGCAAATTTTGTTAAACATTTGGTCCACTGCTATAGATGTGTGTTATAATTTGGTTCACACTAGTTTTGTCATTTATTTATTGTGCTTGTGTTTTGCTTACGACCATATCACGTTGAATACACGCCATCCCGTCCGATCTGGCAAGTTAAGCAACGTTGAGTCCGGTTAGTACTTGGATCGGAGACGGCTTGGGAATCCCGGATGTTGTAGCTTTTGCAAAATTTAACAAAATTCTGAAAATTGCTCCTTTTTTTGGGGGATCACTAAGCCTAAGCCTTTTTTTGCATGAAATTTTTAGGCTTAGGCTTACGAAGTTCACTATTGTTTTCCCAAAGGCGAAATAGTTTTCCCAAAGGCGAAATAGTGAACTTCGTAAGCCTAAGCCTAAAAAATTTCATGCAAAAAAAGGCTTAGGCTTAGTGATCCCCCAAAAAAGGAGCAATTTTCAGAATTTTTGTTAAATTTTGCAAAAGCTTACAACATCCGGGATTCCCAAGCCGTCTCCGATCCAAGTACTAACCGGACTCAACGTTGCTTAACTTGCCAGATCGGACGGGATGGCGTGTATTCAACGTGATATGGTCGTAAGCGAAAGAACGAGTGAAAAAGTCGAAAAAAAAGCGGCGTCGCTCGAGAGTGGAACACACAGGCATAGCAGTTGGCCAAATGTTTAACGCGATTTGCAATACACATAACGTATAAGCAGACAGCGACCGAGAAAGTCGGTTTAATTACCCAAGTTTGAGGTAAACATTGAAACTGACCCAAAAAATTTGGTGGTCCATGGGCTTAGGCTTACGAAACCAAAGGTTTCGCCTTCAGCAATCTTCCTGTAGGCTTAGGCTTACGAAACCAAAGGTTTCGCCTTCAGCAATCTTTCTGTAGGCTTAGGCTTCTGTAAACGCAAATTTCGCTGCTAGGATCTTCCTCTCAGGCTTAGGCTTAGTAAACCACCCAGAACCAACCCTTAGGCTTAGGCTTAGGTAAGTTTTCCTTTTTTAACACTGTTAAAAAACGAGAATTTGTGTTGTTGGATGACGTCATCCCGCCCGTAAAAAGTCACAGATTTGGAATAATCCAAAAATGTAAAAATGAGATCGATGAGTTTCAAAGTAAAAAGTCACAGATTTGGAATAATCCAAAAATGAAAAATGAAGTCGATGAGTTGGGACCTAAATGACACTACCTCTCAGGCTTAGGCTTAGTAAGCCACCCAGAAGCAACTTTGAAGCTAAAAAAAATTGAAAGAAAATTTTTAACACTGTTAAAAAACAAGAAAATTCAGAATTTCATCCAGAAATGAAATTATTGAGAAAAAATCATGTCTCCAAACCGAAATTTCTGTTTGGAGACGGTCATCTCTATAATTATGCAAATAAAAAAGAGATTCAATAAGTTTTTTAAAAAATTTTTGATGACGTCATCCATGGCAAAATTAGGGAGCCTTCCTGATTTTGCCACGAGTCATTTTTTGATCAAAAAACTTTTTTAACACTGTTAAAAAAACAACTCATCGACTTCATTTTTACATTTTTGGATTATTCCAAATCTGTAACTTTTTTTGTTGACTTGTGTCAAAAATTTTGAAAAATCTCGGACCGATTTTTTTTGTTGAAAAATCTCGGACCGATTTTTTTTGTTGAAAAACCCGCCCGAATGAACATTTCGATTTGGGCGGGTAGTGAACAATCTCGGGCCGATTTTTTTTCCGATTTTTTTTTCTTCAAAGTAATTTCTAGGTGGTTTACTAAGCCTTAGCCTAAGCCTGAGCAACGTTTTCAACTTTTTTATAAACTTTTGAGCTTCTGAAATGTCAAAAATTTCGCTTCAAATATTTTTGAACAAAAAATTCCAAATTTCGGCTATCAAAAAATGATCTAGAACCTCTGAATTTTATCATTTTTCTTCATCTATTTTTTTTCTAAACAATCCCAAATAATTTTCGAAATGATTTTCTAACTTTTCACCTCACGTTTATCAATCAATTTCATTTTACGTGACCCATATGCCAATTTTTCATTCCAGATTTTTATTAAAAATTTAAAAAAAATGCCTAAGTTTTGAAATCGAAATTCTGAGTATTGTACGTTGCTCAGAATCACCAGACGAACAACTTTCAAAAAAATTTTATAATTGGACAAATTTTTTTTTTCATTGATTTTCGGATTTTTGAAAAATCGATTTTTTTTGTGTTTAACTGCCCATAACTCGCTTCATTGAAACGATGGACCTAAACAATTTTTTTTTAAATTGTAGCGCTAAGCGAGCTCTACAAGTCTGAATAGGACTCGCAAGATAAAAATGCAAATTTTCATGAGTTATGGAGGTGGCAAGATTTTGGTACATCACATATCATGGTATGGCCATGAAACCTATGCATGGGATATTGAGAAATTCTTCTGAAAGCTTGCAAATGTCCTTATAATGAAATTCCCGAAAGGAATTTTTCACAACTTGATTATTGGTCTTGTAAATATTTGTTTCCCAGGACGCATTTTTGAAATTTCGCTTTTTCTACATTAAAAAGCCGTCAAAATCAATTATAAATGTTTTTTTCGGTCTCAAAATCGAAAAATACCCCTAGGTGAACATTTTCAGAAAGTTTCAGTCACTGGGAACCTGAATTGGTACTTTTTTGTTTTTTCTTCATAACTCACGAACCGTTCATTTTTACGAGAAATAGATGCTTCCAGCGTGTTCAGCACACTAATTTACCCCTATGGAGATATTTTTTACATCATTTAGACCTTTGGGACCATTTTCGAAAAAAATTCCACAAAAGATTACTGTAGTTGATCCATTTTTTCGGAAAAAGCGAAACACGGATAGAAAAATAGGATAAACTATTTTTTTTTCTCTCAAAAATCGAGAGAAAAGGAGAGAAAATGAGAGATAAATAATAATAGTTTATCCTAAATTTCACAATTTTTTTTCGATTTTTGAAAATTTGACCAAAACTTCTGAAATTTGTGGGTGGGGGGTTTTCGGCCCTGTGGAGCATCGTGGTGATAATGATTTTACACGAAAATGAGCATATCAGCTCTTATCAGTGATTATCAAAAAATATCAAAATTATCAGATTGAGCTGAAAGTTGGAGGGAATGATGTTTGGTGATAGTAGATGACTTTTTTGATAATTTTAGAGCTCCAGCTTCATCCTATAAGCTCTTATCAGCTTTTATCACTGAATTATCAATATGCTCGGATTTGGCTAAAACTTACAGAAGATGATGTTTGGTGATAGTAGATGACATTTTTGATAAGTTTAGAGCTCCTGCTTCATCCAAGAAGCTCTTATCACATATTATCACTGAATTATCAATATGTTCAGATTGAGCTGAAACTCGGGGAAAATGATATTTGGAATTAATAAAACACATTTTTAATGAGTTTAGAGCTCCAGCTTCATCCATAGAAGCTCTTATCATATATTATCACCAATTTATCAAAATCATCGGACAAGACTGAAAATCAGGACAAAAAATCGCTCATGAAAATTGAAGGTTCGAAATTTTAGTGAAAAAATCTAAAAAAAAATTTAAAAATGAAAACACCATTTTTCAAAAGAAAATTGAGAAACACAACAAAGATCCAGATGTCAATAGAGCGCACTTGATACATATTCATTCATCCCAAAAATATCAACAAAACGGTATGACACAATTAGGACTCACAACTTTCGAACCTTTGAACATATATTCATTCCATCCATCTTGACCAGCACTGCCAATCCCATTTATAGCTACAACTTTTTGAATTTCATATTTTCCATCACTTTTTTTCCGATAATCATCCTTATGAATAATTTCTTCAAGAATTTGTCCAGAATCTGTGCAATTGTGACGAACACCAATCACAATTTCGAAATTCTGAAATGTTTTTGAAAGCTTTAATATCTGACTTCGCCTAACTCACCCATGTCAAGCTTGACTTCTCGACACGATTTTCAAATAAATTATAATAACTTCCATTAAAACAAACCATCTTCGATACTCCAAAATCATCATAATTGATAAGATCCTCTTCTAGATGAAAAATCTGTGAACACCAAGTTTGATTTTGAGGAAAATAATCGCAAGATACAGTGGTTTCGAAGTGGAATTTGGTAGGATTTTCGACTTGTTGTTGACCAAGATCTGCGTGGATGTTTTGAAGAAGGAAGGAAAATATATATGTGAATAATAGGGTAAACATTTGAAAAATGAAATTTGGAATGGAATTTTGGGGTTTCCACAAGTTTATAGATAAAATTTGGAATTATTGGAGCGTGGAAAAAATGTCTGAAGATTATAAAAAAATTGAATTTTGAAAAGTTTTTTGACAGAAGATTTTATCGCAAAAAAAACTTTTTCAAACATTTTTTTTCGATAATACATTATTTTTGATGTTCAGGAGTTTTGGCACCGAAAGTTTTTAGATTCCGAATTATTCAGCAGCAACCCTTTAAAAACACCCACTGTTTTTTCTAAGCGCTTTTAGTATGCGAAATTGGAATTATTATTTTTTTTAAAGGTGGAAAATGAGGAGGTTCTCAAAAAGCGTCTGCATAAAAATGTCGTTTCTATTGTTTGGCAGTACGCAAACAACGCACCTGACGAACATTTCTTTCTTTTCCCTCTCTCATTTTGCACACACAAAAAATACTCTCTATTCTTTTCTTGTTTTTTTTTTGTTTTTATGAAATTTATTCGTTTTTCAGGAGATTTTCAAGAATTGAAGTTTTGTGATGGAAGAAGGAGAATTATCTGATAAATCTAACCAGAAGGCAAACATTATTCGAGAAGAATTGGATGGATTCGAGAAGAATTGGATGGAGATGGATTCGAGAAGAATTGAATGGAGATTGATTGATGATGGTTCGAGAGAAGATGGTGATTTGGGAAATTCATCGAATACTAAAATATCTGGAAAAACAAATTTTGTCGAAAATGTGAAAATGATGGAAGAGATTATGCAAGTAGTTGAGTTAGATGAACAAATCATTGGAAATGAATTGGATGGAGATATGATGATTGATGATGATTTGGGAAATTCATCGAATACTAAAATATCTGGAAAAACAAATTTTGTCGAAAATGTGAAAATGATGGAAGAGATTATGCAAGTAGTTGAGTTAGATGAACAAATCATTGGAAATGAATTGGATGGAGATATGATGATTGATGATGATTTGGGAAATTCATCGAATACTAAAATATCTGGAAAAACAAATTTTGAGGAAAATATGAAAATGATGGAAGAGAATATGGAAGAAAGCGGAAATGGTTCAAATACTTATGATTCTAAGTATGACCCGACCGAAGAGGAAATGGAAAACCATAGAAAATTAATAAAAGACAAAGAATTGTTATTATCGAAGAAGGCTGTGAACATGTTGTTTCGTGAAAGAGATGTGGTATGTTATTGTGGAAAATGTGTTGATTTGGACGAATTAGAATATTGTTGTGGTTTAATATACCCTATCAATCTAAACATTCAAAAGAGGATGGGCCAAAAAATGTCGGAAAAATTGGACGAGATATTTTGGAATGGGAATTTCGACAAATGCATTGTCGAATGCGCGAACTTCAACAAATATTTAAGAGAAGAAGTGAGTTTCATTCGGTTTGCATAAAGAACTAATTGTAAGCGTTTTATAGATGGTTCAAACTTTCGAAAGTGGTTACAAGTATGCGCTGAACAAGAATGTTTGCGAATGGAAGTCGGAGTGAGTTAATAGTTGTTTCAGATTAATTTTTTCTGTAGATTTTTCAAATTAGTTTTTTACAGGAATTATCGATTTTACTCATATTCCATGTTGGTCAGCGATTTGCACCTCCAATTAAAAAAAGCGAATCCCTTTGCCAGCTTGCGTTATTCGGGCAATTCGACAAAAATGGCCATCAGAAACGTATACTGGATTTTTGTCAGCCTTTCCATATGCTTATGAAGAAGAATTTTAATTGTTGTAAACGGTGGTTTTTTTTATTGTTGTAAATAAATATGTTCTCGTGAAAATGGAAAAAAGGAATACAAAATGCTAATACAGAAATTAATAAAGAAAAAACTAAAATTTTGATAAGTTCAAAAAAGAAGCTTGGAATTAATAGAAAATTTAAAACTTACAAACTTTCTAATTAAAAACAGAAAAAAAATTAAACTTCTTCATCTTCTGATGATGATGAATCTTCATCGTCTTCGCAAATATCTTCAAATACTCTTGCCATGCGCTTCGCAAAATATTCATTGTCTTTAAGTTTTTCCATTGAGATCCCCTCATCATCATCTCCACTCACAACTTCTTCTGTATTTTCATCAACTTTTTTGAGATTTTTCATAATATCAATTGAGGTGTCGCGAATTTTGAAGCGCCATTCGTGTGTGGAGGCGTTTTTGCATGTCTTCACTCTCTTCTCTTTTTTTGTTTTATTCACTGACGTTTTCCCGCCAACTACAACACGTGTTCCTTCGAATTCGTCCAACTTCAGCTGATTCCAATGCAAAATACTCAAACGGGTAGTCGTTTCGTGTTCATGGAAATATTTATCTTTGGGTGCATATTTAGTCGATAAGCTGTTGAAACTTTCGCACTCACTTGTGCAAAATTTCGCAGAAATTTTGCCGATATCTTCCAATCGATTTCCTTTTATAAAAATTTTCCTTACGATATCCCAGGCATTCATGTCTTTCGCATTATTAACATTCAAAAAACCAGTGTGACTTGTGGATTTTGCATCATGTCGGCAGGCTTTCAGTTTATTGAACTTGAACCATGTGATTTGGTCGAAGTCGGTGTGTTGGTTCGTAATATGAGCAAATGTACTCATGACCATTTCTTTGGCCAACAGAGGATCTCCATTGCTATCTGCTACCGACTGATAAATATTATTAATCATAGCTTGAAGCCATAATTTGATTGGTTCCATCTGTTTTTGATTTCGCTTCGGCCATAAATCCATTGTGATATTCCTAATTAAATGCCATAAGTCGAATTTGTGGATAACCGATGGAAAATGCAATTTCATGTTCGCAGATATTGTTAAACATCGATCAGTCGTGAGAGATCGGATTGGCGGCAAATTTTGGAAATATCCTGCATACATCGAAATCAGTTCCCTCAGTCCTTGCATGTGGGCTGCTGGTTCAAGAGCTTTTGATGCGCCTCCTGATGTTTTTCTCATATTTTTGTAGTGGATAATAAACTTCGTTAAAGTGCACATGAAAATGTATCTACACCAAAAAGCAGAGTATCCACGTGTGTCATACATTCCATCTGAAGCTGCGTCGATAGGGATTCCGATTTTCTTCAAAATTTCCATAATTAGTTGTTTTTGAGCGGCGAATACTGTATTGATTGCAGGAACTACAGCGATTTTTCGAGTATCATAAAATGTTGTACTGGATATTGTTGGCATGTTGATAACATCGAACAGAGCTTTCAGATTCTGGAAAATCGAACATGCTTTTACAACTCTGGCAGTTGATGGATGCTTTTTCAGCCGAAATTCAAAGATTTTTGTGAATTTGTGCATGAAAATTCAACAAATTTGGGGCAGTCTCTGGCTGGGAATTCATCGTTTTTGCCTTTCAGTTTGATTTGATGCTTTTATGAGCAAAAATAAAAAACAAATGGAGCAATTTAGGTGGTCTATTTTGAGGCTAGACTTAGGCAAAAAATCTCCATTTTTCTCATTTTAAAGCTGATCTTTTGGTAGACAGAGATGAAAGAACTCACTGAATATGATTGCCCAATTGTTACAATAGCTGATGTAACAATCACATTTATGTCAAATCTTTTGGATGTTGACCCGTCATTTTTCACAATCCTTCTACTGCTTGCCCATTTCCATTGTCTTCCACATTCGCAATAACAGTGAAACTAAAAATGGAACATAATTTCTTTTTATTTTCAAAAAAACTCACGTCTAATGCGCATCCTGATTTTGTAGATTTATATTTTGCTTGTGAGCAACATGCTCTACAATACAAAATCAATGGGAGTAGAAGCTGAATTGACACTAGAAGAAAATTGAAGTCGATTTGAAATTCTTCAGGGTTTCCATCAGAATCACTCGAATATTCACACTCCTCTTCGCAAACTTCAGCAAAATCTCTAGTTGTCGGTTGATAATTCTAGAAAATGAAATGTTTTTTAGTGATTTTACTAACAAATAATACCGGATCTTTTATCATATCAATTTGTTCCTGAAATGGATTCACTTCATCCAATCGATCCCGTTGCTCATTTAGAGATTCTGTTGCATCTCCATGAACATCCATATCCTTCTCAAATGCTGTATTCGAAGTTGATGGAGTAATTTCAGCAAGATTTGATAATGGTGGAGTAATTTCAGCAAGATTTGATAATATTGGAGTAATTTCAGCAATATTGGAAGTTGGCGGAGCATGATTCATTGAATTCCGTTGATTCAGAAACGGGAACGGCTTCGGTAACTCTTTTCTTGCGATTTTTCCCCAAGAATCCCATTCAAAATGCGAACGGCAAATATGTGGCTTACTATACATTTTTATATTTCGCACGAAATGAGGCCCCAAAATTTTCTTCCATTTTTCTAATTGTTTTTGGCTCTGTGTGACAAGGCGCATTTGAGGATATTCAAATTTCCCAGCGCAATAACAGCAATGCAGAAAATGCATCTGAAAAAATCTTATTGTGACATGAAAATTTTCGAATATGTCAAATAAACCATTACGGAATAACATAATGAATACGAAATCATTAATAATTCATGAAAAATGAGTTTATTAAACATAAAAAAAGGAAAAACAAAAACAAAAACAAACTCCAGAATTCAAATTTTCCGCCTGTTCGCTGGAGCGCGTTAGCCCCACCTGCAATACATATGGACTTTTTTCGTTTCTCTCCGTTTTTTTCTCCGATGCTCTTTTTTCGCAATTTTTTTAGTAAACGGACATTTCCAAAGTGTAGAAAGGACCCCGGAATGAATCAAACTTGTTTTTTCCTCGGATTCCACCTTTAAAGTAATTCCATCCTTTGTTCTGATGGTGAGAGAGTGTTGGAAAATGAGAGAGGCAGAGAAACATGGTTTATGAAGTTTCTGTTGTGGATTCTTCTTCTTCTTCTTTTTGTGATTTTTCGGGTTTGTATATCCTGAAAAATTGGAAAAATTGAATCGCAGAAATACTTGACTGATGAAAAAATAGGCCCAAAAGCTTCGGGGCTCCAAAAAACCAGAACTTTCATGACTCACAAAGACTTGAACATCAACCTCGTACAGGCCTAAATACATGCCTAGAAGCTCCCCGTACATAAAAAACTGAAAATTCCGATTCTGATCCCCAGGATTTTCGCGAGAATGCCGTTTCGGGAAGCGAAATCAGAATTCTCCATAACATATAGCTCCGCTTAGGAGTTCTCAGACAGGTAAAACCCATTTATAAACGTTTCATGAAAAAACCTAGTGTTAAATTTTCAAAAAATTGACAAACAGGCTTGCCGCTCTGCCGCACATGCACTCAAAAGTGCGCACAACTTTTCTCTGGCTTGTGCGAAGTGATCAACTCATACTTGACTATTTTTCGGGGCATTGTGGTTTTTTCAAATAATGTCGATAATATCGATGAATCAACATGTTATGTTTTATAATGATTTATTTTGATATGTATGACATGTTCATGACAATAATGTTTTGTTTTAATATGACTTTGTTTTGTTATAGCCATTATATATCATTTTATTAAATATCAAATTATATTTATTTGATTCGTCCTTCATTTTTGGTGGAGGTGAGAGAGTGTGCAAAAATAAGAGACCCACCGTATAGTTTTCGTCATAACAGCTATACCAATTGCAAGATGCAGTGTGGAGAGAAAAATTTTGAATTTGAGTATTACTGTAGGGGTACTGTACCTTGTAAATCAGCAATAATTCGATTTTTGAGTTCAATTTTGAGATCACATCTTTCGGATCGTGTTCCATTGTGAATAGAAAACGGCAGTTTTGTGTTGGAAGGGAAAGAGACGTGTTTGAAAAAAAGAAAAAGACATTTCTTCTGAAATTTTCTATCGGAGTTCAACTCATGCTTAGAAGTCTGAAAATTTTCAGAATCTCTCATACATAGTTCTAAAAACAATAATATTCAAAAATGAAATCGAATACGGATTTGCAATTCGGTGTTAAGGTGAGTTGTAAGAAAATAGCAGCTATGCGGATTTTATTTTCCAGATCGCTTTGATTATTGTGGGAGTGGTGCATTTGTTGTTGGGTTTGACGGTTTTATTTCAAGCACTTGGGTATGTTTATAAATACGTAGAAGGGTCTCGTTTTTTTTGAGATTATCAAATTTTTTCAGAGAAAGAATGGCAGCTGAAAACGTTATCCATGAATTTGAAAAAATTAATTCTACTAGGATTGAAACAATAACAAAAGAAGCCACAATTGCACCAGCTGTTTTAATGCCATTCATCGCTGGAACAATCTGTCTGATCTCCATCTCCGTCTGCGTCAAACAATGTTTTATATGTATAATTGGTGCCAATATTCTTGAGCTCCTCTTATTTATTGTTGCATTGATACGCTCTCATATAGTTTATAGTGCTACGAGCGATGCTTTTGATATATTGAGAGAAGCAGACAAAGCTGGCAAGATCTCATCGGAAAAAAAAAAGTTTTATGATGCTATGATGTTTTTGGAATTAGGTCTGGAGGCGAATATTTTCTTTTGTTATAGTGGATTATTTCTCACAATTGCATCAATTGCAGTCACTGCACTCCTTGCATTCAAGAAACCTTCTAAATAACTAATGAAAAATGTTTGAAGAAAAAAAAAGATTTTGGTGGGATTGTGTAATTGCCTCTGCGTCTCTAACTTTCTAACTTCCTCTCAGAAGGAATGCTTCCCAAAGTGACCCCACCGATTTGGATGAGACTGGGTGGAAACTTCTTAGTATTGGCGGGTATGAAAAACCCTAGGGGGATTTTTCCAACAAAAATTTATTTCCTGACTTAGGCTAAGTTCGAGATTTTTTGACTCAAAAAGCATGTTTCAACTTCAAAAATTCATAATTGAGTTCATTTTCAAGTAAATGACTCGACTAAAAAACCAAAATGTAGCTAAAACACTGTAGTTTTCGAAAAAATAGACCTGAACACAAAAAAATTTTTGAAAATTAAAAAATGGGGTCACAAGGAGAATCAATTTTTTGCCTCATCACGTACTTCTCTGATGAAAGGAGGCAAGTACGTGAGTTCTAGTTGCGATTTTCGAACTCTACGCGCAAAATTAGGTCCAGGGACCCATTTTCAGAAAAATTGACCGTTCTATATTAACATATCGTATTTTTATGTCTCATTTCAAGGTGAAAATCCGGGAAAAAAGTGAATTTTTTGGGTGTACCTGTTCATGGCCGAGTGGTTAGCATGCATGGTTACCAAGAAATCGGTCGTAGGTTCAATCCCCATGCTGACATATTTTTTTTTAAAGCTACATCAAAGTCTAACTTATATTTATCTGAAATTGATTTGTTTCGGCTCAATTATTAGCAAAAAGTGAAACCTTTGAAAAAGAAAAAATCCTCAAAGCGCAAATGCTTGACGGAACGTTAGGTGAGGTTTGACTCCATGTCAGACTGACCTCAAGGCATGGCTCCTCGAAAGAGACACTCTCAAGGCGTGGCTCCTTGAGGATATACGTTTTCAACGCGTTGCACCTTGACAAAGTGATCCTCAAGGCGTGACTCCTTGAAATATACGCTCTTAAAGCGTTGCTTCTGGACAAGTTGAGCCAAGACGTGAATCCTTGGAAGACACGCTCTCAAGGCGTGGCTTCTTGACAAGCTGACCCTCAAGGCGTGGCTCCTTGACAAACCGACATTTTGCGAAAAATCGCTTAAGGAGCGGTTCCTTGACAGTAAAAATGTCAAAGTTCTTGACAAAACAAACATTACTTTTCTTGACAGAGGACTTTCAAGGAGCCACGCCTTGAAAGCATGTCTTTCAAAGTGCCACGCCTCGAGGGTCGGTTTGTTAAGGAGCCACGCCTTGAGAGTGTCTCTTTCGAGGAGCCATGCCTTGAGGGTCAGTCTGACATGGAGTCAAACCTCACCTAACGTTCCGTCAAGCATTTGCGCTTTGAGGATTTTTTTCTTTTTCAAAGGTTTCACTTTTTGCTAATAATTGAGCCGAAACAAATCAATTTCAGATAAATATAAGTTAGACTTTGATGTAGCTTTAAAAAAAATATGTCAGCATGGGGATTGAACCTACGACCGATTTCTTGGTAACCATGCATGCTAACCACTCGGCCATGAACAGTTACACCCAAAAAATTCACTTTTTTCCCGGATTTTCACCTTGAAATGAGACATAAAAATACGATATGTTAATATAGAACGGTCAATTTTTCTGAAAATGGGTCCCTGGACCTAATTTTGCGCGTAGAGTTCGAAAATCGCAACTAGAACTCACGTACTTGCCTCCTTTCATCAAGTACGTGATGAGGCAAAAAATTGATTCTCCTTGTGACCCCATTTTTTAATTTTCAAAAATTTTTTCGTGTTCAGGTCTATTTTTTTCGAAAACTACAGTGTTTTAGCTACATTTTGGTTTTTTAGTCGAGTCATTTACTTGAAAATGAACTCAATTATGAATTTTTGAAGTTGAAACATGCTTTTTGAGTCAAAAAATCTCGAACTTAGCCTAAGTCAGGAAATAAATTTTTGTTGGAAAAATCCCCTAGGGTTTTTCATACCCGCCAATACTAAGAAGTTTCCACCCAGTCTCATCCAAATCGGTGGGGTCACTTTGGGAAGCATTCCTTCTCAGGTTTTTTTTTGAAAATTAACGTTTGCCACGAAAAATTGTTTCCACGTGACCTTCCCCGAAAAAATCAAGATTGTCATTTCACAAAAAATGTGGACTTCAAAAATTGAATTTCACAAAGGAGTTAAGGTAACCAAGGGGGATACTGTAGCTACAGTAGCTCTAATAAATACTGTAGATCGTAATTCTTCTGATTGCCATGTTTCATTTGTTGATTGGAATTGGAATGGTTGTTGAGATGTTTAGGTGAGTGAAAAATTCAGATTTTAGCTTCAAAATCACCGTAGTTTTGTTGAATCAATTGTTTTGCAGAGAAGTCGAAATCACCTCAAATCTTCATTCAAAAATGCCCGCCTACAATTCGCCCAACACAATTTTTCCCGCAATTATCGCGCCATTCTTCAGCGCCACAATTTTGGCGATTTTCCCCATTCTCACACCATTTTACCTATTGATAATCCCGATTTTTGTGCTCGAAATCATCGAAGTCGCGCTGCACTTCTACGCGATTTTTCTGATTCGCGAATGTCGCGACAAATTCGCCTATCAATTTCAATTCGCAAACGTTTTGATTTCGCTTCCCGACACGGCATTTTCGCGAAAATCGCAGAAAAATGAGGCGTTTTGGGTGTGTTGGTGGGATTTGGAGCGGTGCTTTTTGGTGCATCAGATTTTGATCGGAATCGGCATTTTGGTGGTGATTGCGACTTTTTGTTTGATTGGATGGGTTGCGAGGTGAGCTTTGGAAGGAGTTTTGGGGATCAGAATCGGAATTTTCAGGTTTTTTAGGCCCAGAAAGCTTCCGGGGTAAATTTTCAGAAATTTGTGGGGCTCAAGTCTTAGTGGGTCCAAAAAATCCCGGTTTTTTGGTTCCAGGAAAATTTTGGGCCTATTTTTCTATCGATCAAGTATTTCTTTTCCAATTTTTCAGGATCTACAAACCCGAAAAGCCACAAAAAGAAGAAGAAGAAGAATCCACAACGGAAATTTCATAAACCATGTTTCTCTGCCTCTCTCATTTTCTCACCTTCAGAACAAACATTTCGCATATCACTAAAAAAGTATTTTCAAACTTTTTTCGAAAAACTTCATCCACGTGGCATAAACTTCAGTAAAAAAAGGTGTTTTTGCCACAATTCAAAAATTGCGCATACCTTGCGTAATTTCGCTGAAATTCCAGAAATAAACCTGATAAAATCCGAGGTTTTCAAGATTTTGAAAAATCAAGAAAACCTCGAATCATTCTTCTTGCTACGCTTTTTCTAATGCGATTTCCTAACAAAAACAGAATATGAAATCGTATTATGATCAAGGTATAAAACAAGGAATCATCAAAGAGAGATGAAATTCAAAAATGATTCGACAATATTTTCTTGCAATTTGCATTTTTCTTGCGATTTCTGTCAATGCGACAAAATTTGACATTAGAGCAGAGTTGATCTGTAACTTCCAGAAACAATGGCAATACACGGCCTATTTCTATGAATACGATGTTTATTCGTGAGTTTGAGTGAGACTATATTACCCCAGAGCGGTAAAAACTAATACAGATCAAGCGAAGGGATGCACACCACACCAGTTTACGCGAGCGTTCAACCCAACTCAAGTTTTGCCGCTTCATTTGAATACAATGAAGGTGATGGTTCTGGCGATAACTACTACGAGACTTACATGACAATAACTCACACTTGCACCGACAATGGTCATCAGGCAACAGCCGCTTTCTTTATCGGAACTGTTCCAGTTGACAGCACTGGTGCTTTGATTGAACAAAGATACATTATTGACACAAAATGCCACTCGTCTTTTTGTGTTTTGGTTCACACACAACAATAATTGAATTCGGTGCTATCATTAATGTTTTTTACAACTTTTGATCAGCATTTTTTTTTGAGAATATAATAATTTTGGGATCTACAGTAACCTCTTTTCTGGATTCCTCAAAAGATTGCTCATATTAAGTACTGTAGAAATCTCCATTAGCTTTGGATCTCGGATTACTGTATCTCTGAAATCTTTCATTTTCATCTTCATCCATCCCAAAAACTTTTTATTTTATTTATATAGAAAAGAAAAAATAAAACGAAAAAAAAAAATGAACAAATAAATATTTTGGCTGTGTCTGCGTCTCTTTAAAATGACCCTGCTCTCAATGTTTTGCCTCCCCAAAAATTTTTCTGTGAAGGGAAATGAAAAAATATACAATCATGATATGAGCGATCAGGATCTGATAAAAACTATACTATGACGTGGCAAGATATCACGAAATACGAATAAAATACACTCTGGCAATCAAAGAGTCGAGCTATTCAAAGTTGCTACTACAACCAAATTCTGCCGCCTTTTCGAAAAAATTCTCTGAAAAACAACGACGATACGGAGTAACGTAGATGAAATATGTCAAAGGAGATGTGATTGGGATGAGCATAAAGATAGTGAAAGTTAGATATTCGAGAATTGGATGATGGAATAATCCGAGTTGACCGATTGTGTAAGAGAGCACTGCAATTAGATAGACGCAGGGGAGACAGGCTTGAATGGTGAGCACCTGGAAATGTGGGAATTTTTGGAGCATTGTTCAGCCGAATAGTTAGCTCTGACTCACTCTCAACAATTGTTTCTGCAACTTCCTGGTCTCCTTGGTCACCCTGAAATCTTTGGCCTCCAAACTCCGAACAATTTTTCTTCTCAAAATCAAAATTCCCAAATAAACCGGGCAAATTGGAAGTGTCATGTGAAAAATCGAGAAAAGAGTTCCGGGCACGAAAATATCCAGAGTTCCTGAAACACAACTTCCAAGCATTTCATCCCGGTATTCTGGATATATCTCCAGGATTTTTGCTTGGATTTCTGAACTTGGGGAGAATGAGTTGGCGTAGATCAGGAGTTGCGCGAAACTTGGCAGGTAGATCAGAAATAGGGCCAAAATGACGGGTGTAATTCGCGGAGCATCGTTGGAAATCACATAGAATCGATAGTAAAATGAGATTAACAAGGAGTAGAGGGAATGTGAGATGAAGTGGAGTAATATAGAGTAGCCTAACTCGCAGGCCCGTTGACCTAGAGCCCGACAAGGGCCGTTGGAAAAATAGGCCAGTGTCCGGCCAGCGGGAATGAGACGCTGTTGCTCGAAGAAATCGAAAAAACTTGCGCAGAAATCGGTGATCGCAAAATTTATAATAACACAGCTTAAGGGCGTCCGGTCCGCGGCGGACCTGTGACAGACCCGTAAAACACCCGTGGGCAAAACACCTGTGACAGGTCTGAGACGTGTCGATTTTGACCTGTAGCCCCACCTGTGAATGACCCGTATGAGACCTTTTTCCTACTTTTCGGTTGACCAACTACAATTTTTTGAACAATGTATAACAATGTATAATCAATAAAAAATTTATTAGAAAATCAAAAAAAATTAGAAAAACTTATTTTTCATGGCTTTTCCGATGCATCTCTTTGATTTGCGGGGAAGTTGGGTGCGGTGGAGTAGGTTTTGTCATTTAATAGTAAAGGCGATATGGTGTAATTCCTTGAATACACAATTCTTGGTGACACCAATCTGTCGCTCATGTCGTCGTGAGAGAAGACTGTGTCAGCTGGAAGTTGCTTCTCGATGTGCTCGCAAGAAAAGTCCATCTTTTGGGCAAAGGTTCCTCTGTTGATTTGAATTCCGACTAAATCAGCCTTCTTTTGACGGCGGTTGAGGAACTACATCTGAAAGTAAAGAACCATTAGAATCCGACTTTCTTATTTAAGTTATCAAACCTGCGTGTGATCAGTTACATGGATAAACTATGCTTTTGAGCTTGTTGAAGTCGGATTCGATGAGTTTCTTTCCATCTTGATCTTGCCATTCCAACACAGTTGGTGATATCCTTGTTTTTGAGGCAGACTATAAATTTATATTACGTTTACGTAAATTAGTAAATTATAAGTTGTGACGAATTCAAGAATCAAGAAACGACATGTCATTAAAATTGTCAACTCTAACAGGGAACTTCCGAGAATAATTCATTAAAATTGGCTAGAATTGAGTGAAACTGTGAAATATATTCGTTCTACTATTTGGAAATTGAAAAAATCAACGAAAATGAAAAATTATTCTTCCAGGTCTAAATTCATGTTTTATGAATAAATTTTCATGTTCAAAAGAAATTTGCTGCTTGCTCCTAGGCGGGCAACATGGTTTATACATGTTTCGCAGCTTCAAACACTTAATTTCTCGATAAAACGTCGAAAACACAAAAAAAACGAAAAAAAAGAAAAAAATCAGCGGTGTGCATTTCGTCCGAGAGAAGTACACACAGATATCGCTGCAGGACCTTTTCATTGAATTGCATGCGCCTTTAATTTTTTACCCTTCAAAATTATTTTGGTGGAAAATGGTGAACACCATTCGACGCAGAATTTCGAGCTGAACAAAATGATTATAAATTCATCTTGTGTTTTGACCGATTTTCAATTTTTAGGTTTTTGGTGAATTTTATTTTATTTTTTTGAACTTCACTCAGCCACATCATAAAGAGTTTTCGACGCCGCTGAACATTTCTGATCAAAACGTCGGCATCCTAAATAATGAGCCGGAAATCGGGAATTTTCGAAAGATAAATATTTTTGGAAGCCTACAACTTATGTTAGAAAAACTGCTTAGCAGCTCTGAGAATCGGTTAGCAAAAGTGGAAACGGGTTCTTTCTCAGAGTTGAAAACTATCAAACGATTGATCTCTCATTGAAAATGTCTCAGAGAACACACTCTTCCTTGTCGCACTGGTCCACTATTCTTCTGATTTTTCATTTTTTCAGTTATTGGTCAAAAATGAATCAACTTTCCTATGGGTCATTCACAGGTCATTCACGGGTCATTTCACAATTTATTCTCTCAACTTGAAAAACTACCCACGGAAGACCTGTAGAAGACTTTTCAAAATACTTGTAGAAGACCCGTAAATCACCTGTACAAGGGAAAAACACAAAGTATCTGTAAACGACCTGTGAACCACCTGTGAAAGACCCACGGAAGGCTCATAAAACACCTTTGAATCTTGTCGGTCGGTTACAGGTCTGTCGCGGATCGGACGCCCTTAAGCTGTGAAGGATTGAATAGGTTCTGATGATTTTTGGAGACTTGAAAATTGCGAGATACAGTAGAATGAAATTAAAGGCGCAGCCAAGAAATCCGGCAAATGTGTGGAAGATTTGGAATAGTGTTAGACTTATCCTTGACATTTAATGTGATAAATAATTTTGAAAAAAATTTTAAGTTTTTTATGCAACATTTTTTGAATAGAAATTTTTGATGAATAGGGGTAAATTGGGAAAGAATGAAGATTCTTGATTTTTTCAAGCAGAAATGGAGAAATGACGAGAATAAAATACTCTAACAATAAAATTATATTTTCAAAATCGATACGATTTGGATAAACATTAACTTTTTCCAAAAATTTCTGATACAAAAAAACCAAAAAAAACTTATTTTTCTGAGATATGGAATAGGTTCAAAATACCAAAATTTTCTAGTTTCAAATAACACAATTTTTTCGGGATACAACATTTTTTGGCAACATTATTGCGATGTTAATCAATCACATTTGCTATCACCCAAAAATGTGACTGTGACCATGGAAAAATTCTGGTATAAAAAGTTTAGTTTGATCTCTTTAGAGATCATTCATTCTCCATTTTATAGTCATGCGCTACAGTGACCAAAGGAAAATAAATTTCGCGCCGGGACCCGCGAAAATTCCAGAATGTGTTTTGATGCATCTTCAGGAGGAGACGCTGAATTTCAAAGGAATGGGCTTAAGTCTTCAAGGTAGATCAATTCAGGCGGGACTTTGTAGATCATGTTGAAACTTCCAGAAATGTCACAGCGATCACCAATTGTTATCAAAATTCTTGACGAGACTCGAGACCTCATTCGCAACTTGATGTAACTCGAAACCTCTCCCTCCTTCCCCCACAAAAACTTTTTTGCAGGCAAGTTCCGAAAGATTTCGAGATTCTTTTTATGCAAGGCGGGGCAACAGCACAATTTTCAGCGATTCCGATGAATCTAAAATCCAGCAAAAGCCACGCAGATTATTTCATAACTGGAAGATGGTCGCAGAAAGCAGCAGAGGAGGCTGAAAAATATCTGACAGTTCACAAAGTCTTTGAGCCCTCTCCAGATTTCTCGAAAATTCCTGAAGAATCCCTTTGGAGTTTCACAATCAGCGAAAATTCAGCCTATACCTATTATTGCGCAAATGAAACTGTGCATGGTGTCGAATTTTTGGCGCCCAAATCGAAATCACTTTTGGTGGCTGATGTTTCCTCCTGTTTTCTAGCAAAGCCATTTGATTTCAAAAATCACGCTCTACAGTGCGTTTCATAATGATAGGTTCACCCCCAAAATTTCTGAAATCAGCCGAGGTGTGAGTTGTAATAACAATCCGAGTTAAAAATAAAAAAGAGCACACAAAATTAGCTAAGAAAAACTCAATTTTATCTGAAACTACCAAATAATAAAAAAATAAATGACCGGAGTTCAAAAATTTCAAAAATTTAGCGTTTCAAAACGATAGGTTCACCCGCAGTAGTACTGTAGTTATGTTTCGTGGTAGGAGTTTTATCGAATATTCTGGAAAATACGAGTGATATTTGATTATTTTAACGTGTTTCTGTTTTTGTTCTCGTTTTTTCACGTCATTCATCAATGTCGCGGGGAAGTCATCTTACAAAAGAGGAACAAGCTCAAATTAGAGCATTCAAAATCGCCGGATGGTCCAATAGAATGATTTCGTCAAAATTGAAACGATCTCTCAACTGTATTAATCAATTTGTCAACAATCCGGATCACTATGAGCGAATGAAAAACACTGGAGCTCCCAAAAAACTCACGGAGAGAGATAAACGAGGGATTGTTAGGTTGGCTTCGAACACAATGAAATCGTGTAATGACATCAAAAACGAGCTGGGTTTGAATATCAGTAAGACTACAGTTTGGAGAGCCATAGACCAATCCCCAGAAATCGTTCGAGCCAAATTGGTGCCAGCTCCGCGTCTCACACTTCGCCACAAAGACAACCGTCTTACTTTCGCAAAAGCCAACATGGCCACAGATTGGGATAAGGTAAGTAATTTTTCTAAAAACATCAAATATTGATGTTTTCTTGTTCAGATAATTTTTTCTGACGAAAAAAGTTTAATCTTGATGGTCCGGATGGTTACAACTCATACTGGCATGATATCAGAAAGGATCAACTTCGCTTCCCAAAGAGAAATTTTGGAGGAGGACGGGTTATGTGTTGGGGCGCATTTTCTGCAGCTGGAACGTTAAAAATAGCTTTTGTTTCATTCAAGATGGATTCGTTAGATTACCAAAAAACCCTCCATGACTATCTTTTGCCATATTTGAGGCGGTTCCGGACCAGAAAGTTCACTTTTCAACAGGATAATGCTGCCATCCACGTCAGCCAATCATCAAAAGATTGGTTCAAAAGCCACAAAATCAAAGTTTTGGATTGGCCAGCGTGTTCTCCTGATCTTAATCCGATGGAAAACGTATGGGGGGAGCTCGTTCGCCGAGTTTATGCTCAAGGAAAAAAATATGATACTGTGGACCAACTCAAAGATGCCATCGAGACGGAATGGAATAAAATCGATAAGAACTACCTCAAGAGACTTGTTGACTCGATGCCAAATCGTCTCTATGATGTCATTTCTAAACATGGAGGTCCAACTAAGTATTGATTTTCGATTATATGTCTCCAATGGGAATTCTGGATTAGGTGAACCTATCGTTTTGAAACGCTAAATTTTTGAAATTTTTGAACTCCGGTCATTTATTTTTTTATTATTTGGTAGTTTCAGATAAAATTGAGTTTTCTTAGCTAATTTTGTGTGCTCTATTTTATTTTTAACTCGGATTGTTATTACAACTCACACCTCGGCTGATTTCAGAAATTTTGGGGGTGAACCTATCATTATGAAACGCACTGTAGTTTTTGGGGGCACTCAGAAAAATCTTGGCGCCGCTGGTTTGACAATTGTGATTGTTCGAAATGATCTAATCGGTTTCGAACTTCCAACAACACCAGGAATTCTAAACTACCGTGAAATTCGAGATAGCTCAAGTCTATACAACACCTTGCCAGCCGGAAATTTACGAACAACTAACTTGGTTTTAAAGTGGATCAGAGATCAGGGAGGAGTCCAGAAAATGTACCAAAACAATTTGGAGAAAAGCAAATTGATTTATGCAATCATAGATAGTTCGGAAGGATTTTATAGATCAGAAATTGCCCCACAAAATCGATCAATAATGAATATCTGCTTTGGAGTTTCAGGAAATTTGGAAGAAAAATTTTTGTGCGGAGCCGAGCAGCGAGATATGCTAAATTTGAAGGGACATCGAAGTGTTGGCAAGATCAGAGCATCAATTTATAATTCGACCAGAAGGGCTCCGCCGGCTAACGCCGGCTCCTCCTTCTGGATTGTCCCGGCTTCGCGCGTAGTTTTCTTTAGGTGTAAACAGAAACATGTTTCGTAAAATACGACAGAGTTGTAGTTTTTGAAAAGTTGGAAAAGATTCTTTCAACAAAAACCGAAATTTTGATTTTCGTTGAATTCTTTCTCCGCTAGGTATGATTTTTAAATTTTCTGAAGAAAAATTTTCTACGTCTCAAAAACTAAAGCACAACATTTGGCGGAACTGTTCCGAAAATCTAAAATCTATATCCAAAAAATCTATATCCAGAGAGAAAAGAAATGCTGCCTTATTTTCTGAGTATAAGCTTCTATGTTCCATCTGAAATTTTCAGAGCCGTGGAAGATAAAACCAAAGTACAGTAAACTCCGCCGCCCTCTGATTATTTTCATTGATTCATTCGGGCCGATTTTTTTTCATCCAATTTTTTTTTGAAAAAACTCGAGCCGATTTTTTTTTTTGAAAAACCTCGGTCCGATTTTTTTTTTTTTTGAAAATGAAAAAAATTGAAAAAAAATGAAAAAAAATGAAAAAAACTCGGGCCGAGTTTTTTTTCATCCAACGAAAAAACTCGGGCCGATTTTTTTTTGAAAAAACTCGGGCCGATTTTTTTTTTTGAAAAAAACTCGGGCCGATTTTTTTTTTGAAAAAAACTCGGTCCGATTTTTTTTTTTGAAAAAAACTCGGGCCGATTTTTTTTTTGAAAAAACTCGGTCCGATTTTTTTTTGAAAAAAACTCGGGCCGATTTTTTTGAAAAACTCGGGCCGATTTTTTTTTGAAAAAAACTCGGGCCGATTTTTTTTTGAAAAAAACTCGGGCCGATTTTTTTTCATCCAACGAAAAAACTTGGTCCGATTTTTTTTTTTTGAAAAAATTCGGGTTTGTTGTTTGGGCTTAAAGGGGGGTTAAGACGACAAAATTTTATTTGCTCAATGAATCGGGCTCCCTTTGAATAGTAAAAGCCTCAGGGATTTTTTCTCGAAAGGCCTAAAAAGGTCCGAAAAAATATTCCATGAACTTTTTCAACGTATACCTAGTTTATGTACCTAGTTTATACGTGGTACCTAGTTTATGGAACATTTTTTCTGGGCGTTTCCAGAAAAAATCCCTTGGAGGTTTTACTACTTTTGGGGAGCCTTTAACTTTGCGACAAAAAAATTTTGTCGTCTTACCCCCCCCTTTAACTATATTGGGATTCCCAAACACATCAAAACTCACTATCAAACATTCACATTAAAGTATTTGTTTTTCTTCTTGTAAAAGAAATTATCCAATATCTGAAAGTTCGAACAAATTATAAATTTATCCACTGTAATCTAACTCACTTTTTTTCTATTTATTTTTCAAACCGATTAGGAGTAGAGTAATAGCGAGAAATGATTAAAAATGTCCCCCCTCTATGAATGAAATAGAAAGATCAGATAAGAAACGTGACCTAGCCATTTTTCTGATTAAAAACGTGATCATTCTTTTTAGCATGAAAAAAGTTTTGATTTTTCACGTGAAAACTCGCGCACTTTTTGAAAAACAAAATATTAGCGCCTCGATGGGAAAGAATTTGGGATCGAATGGTGAAGGTCCCATCAAAAATGGTCTTCTGTAAATTGAGAAAAGTCTTGCGACACATTTTTAAATCGAAAAATACATTGGAGTTTTCAAACTTTTTGTGCTCCGCGCACCCCGACTAAAATTCATCAAAAACAGATGGTATGTGCACCAAGGTGCCAAAATTTGCAAACTTTTCATTTTTTGATCATCAATTTTTATGAACGTTGAAGACCTGAACGGATCGCGGACAAACTATTTTCGAAAAGCAGTTTTCAATTAGTATATAGTAGATTACATTGGAGGAAGTTAAAGTTTTGGCTAGATACATGTTAGAATTTCAGGAGACACATAATCAAATTTGATGAAATTTTTTTGCTCTAGTATATTTTAGTTACTTCAACTTCTTTGTGATATTTTTTTGAGAAAGTTTTCAATTTTTAAAATCTATTTGGTACAAAAGTTGAAAGAGACAAAAAAATACAAATAAAAAATCATTATTTTTTCCAAATTCACTATATAATTTTTTGTACGAATTTTTCATCCGAAAAATTCAGAGAATTCCAGAGTTTCGGAGAGATTTTAACTGAAATGTACCAATTTGTAGAGTTTTTCTAAATGAGAAAGACTCAGTGGGAGAAAAGACGAAAGTGCAAAAAATTCAATTTTCGGCCAGCTTACGATTTTTTTTAATGATAAAAAAATGTAGCAAACTCGTTAAAAGTCATTTTTTGCGATCACTTGCTACTTTCTTTCTCAAGCTGTCTTCATTTTTTAACTGAAAAATTCTTCGAAAGTCTGAAAAAACAAGCCCAAATGTGAGAATTGACCACAAATCACGTTTTGGAAGCTTGTAACTCATGCTATGATAACTTTTATCAAATATTGAATTCACAAGTTTCTTCAAGCTTTTTCTTTGGAAATTTGACTTTCTTGAGCAATTTTTTGTATTAATTTTCTGATAAAGTTATTCTAACATGAGTTAGAAGGCTACAAATTCGCGATTGTTCAAAAATCGTCCATTTTTGGCTGATTTACTGACTTTCAGATAGTCGTTCAGCGAAAAAGAAGACGCGATCTTGATCAGCACAAAAACCTCTTCATTTCTCATTGAAAATCGTCAAATTCCTCCAAATTCCATTCAAATTTAAATTTCATAATCAAAATCCCGCCCTCCGCTACATATAAAAATAAAAAAACTTACTTTTCTCATTTGAAATTATCGACATCCTCCAATCGATCGGTTCCTCTCATTTCAATCGATTTTCTGAAAAAAACGAATATATTTCATTTTCATCGAAAAAAACCAACCTTTTTATGAAATCCACGTTGCCGCCGTGTCGACTTTCGTTGGTGCATCCTTTCCATTCGAATAAACACTGAAAAAACATGAATTTCACATCGGAAACCATTAAAACTTTCAAAACGAGAAAAAACAAAAAAATTGTTCAAAATTATTGTGTGCAATTGTGCGTCGCCGTGTTTGCAGTTTGCTATTTTTAATTTTTAATTTTTTTTTCTTTTTCAGTGTTTTTTCGTGTTACAGCCGGTTTTACATAATAAATGATGATTTTTTCAGTTTTTATTTGGATGGAAAGGAAGCACCAACAAAAGTCAACACGGCGACAACGTGGATTTCATAAAAAAGTTGGTTTTTTTCGATAAAAATGAAAACTATTCGTTTTTTTTCAGAAAATCGATGAAGATGAGAAGAACCGATCGATTCGAAGATGTCGATAATTTCAAATGGGAAAAGTAAGTTTTTTATTTCTATATGTAGCGGAGGGCGGGATTTTAATAATGAATTTCAAATTTGAATGAAATTTGGAGGAATTCGACGATTTTCAATGAGAAATAGAGAGGTTTTTGTGCTGAAGAAGATCGCGTCTTCTTTTTTGCTGAACGACTCTCTGAAAGTCTGGAAATTAGCCAAAATGGATGATTTCTGAACAATCGCGACTTTGTAGCCTTCTAACTCATGTTAGAATAACTTTTATCGGAAAATTAATACAAAAAATTGCTCAAGAGAGTCAATTTGCCAAAGAAAAGAGATTGGAGAAGTTTGTGAATTCAATCTTTGATAAAAGTTATAATAACATAAGTTTCAAGTTTCCAAAACATGATTTGTGGTCAATTCTCATATTTGGGCTTGTTTTTTTTCTGACTTTCGAAGAATTGTTCACATACCTCGCATACCCCTGTTTCAAATCCGCCAGTGCATACCCCTATTTTTGAAAATTTTCGACGAAAGGGATAACCCCCCCCCCCCCCTTTTTTTTTCATTTTTTTTTCATTCCCAGCTATAGAAATCTGAAAATTACAATTTTATTGAGCTTAACCTCAGAAAAAGGAGCTTGGCGAGGTTTTTTCCCTCTGTTATCAAAGAAAACAGGGGTAAAAAGTCAGTAGGGGTATCTAATGAATACCAATGAATATTAGACTTGAGTTAGGGGTAGCAAGCCTTTATTAGACCCTTATCAACTATTCTCAACGATAAAATCTGAAGGATTAAGCCTGGTATCAAGATGGGACCACTACGCCATTTTTCACATATCAACTGACAGTTAGTAACTGTAATATTTGCAAAAATTATGATTAAGCGACAAGAGTTATTCAAAATTATTATGGATCAATGTGGTTGCACAATTTGATTCATTTAGTGTCTCGTTTGACTAGCTAGATTTGATATGATCTTTTTAAAACTAATCTCTTGGATGAACAAAATTTCATATTTCTCGAAATTAAAAATTCTCGATTTCAAATCTGTAAGGTTTTTTTATTTTATCGAATTCGCGATCTATATTTTAATATCATTAAAAGTCAGCGATCTACAGAATAGTAATGTAATCTACATTTATAATCATATTTTTTTCTCAGAGTTGGTGGTTTGATTTAGGGTCAAACTAATGTTTTTGAAATTAATACATTTTCCCTTCTTGGGAATAGTTGATAAGTACCTAATTAACGTAAATCACCTCTAACTCAAGTCTAATATTCATTGGTATTCATTAGATACCCCTACTGACTTTTTACCCCTGTGTTCTTTGATAACACAGGGTAAAAAATAGCATAATGCTACCGCTAATTTAATTAGATATTTATGTGGAAACTTTTTTGAGGCTTAAATTGGTATCCCTATGGCAGAATATGTAGAGAAAATTATCATAAAAACTGAGAAAATTTCATAAAATTTTTCATCTCAAGTGACAACCCCCTCCAAAATTTGGTGTGAGGGATAACCCCTCCACGGGTCGATTACCCCTGGCATGCGACGTATGATTGTTCAGTTAAAAAATGAAGAAAGCTTGAGAAAAAAGTAGAAATTTATCGCAAAAAAATTGACTTTCAACGAGCTTGCTACATTTTTTTATCATTATAAAAAGGTCGTAAGCTGGCTAAAGATCTTTCTCATTATGAAAAACTCTACAAATTGGTACAGATTTCAGTGAAAATTTTTCGAGACTCTGGATTTCTCTAAATTTTTCGGATGAAAAAATCGTACAAAATAATATTTTTG